GTGTGGGCAAGCATGTGTGTGTGTGTGTATAAAATGTATGCAAAATTTGCAATTGCGTCTTATTAAATGCGCACGCATTGCGCATACGACCCGTTTCCGCATGAGCAGACCAGCTAAAGAAGCCAAAGAGACAAAAAAAAACTCGGCCGAAAGTGTACGTTGACCGGCATCATCCAGTCAAAAATATAAAAAACACGCATGCGCAAGTACCAATAAAAGCTTTTCATGTAAAATTAGAACAGCAAATGCAGCAGAAGCAAATTTTGACGTCGGCCATTAAGAGAAACCGTTAAGCGCTCAATGTCAGTAAAACGTCAATGCTGCTGCTGCTGCTGCTGCTGCTCTCCCGTAAACTGAAAAGCAGCAACAAGAACGTCGAATATTAAATGCTCTTGCAAACACACGTCTCAGTAGCGTTTTTATGCAATAGCTACGACCGATTTTTCTTATGGCAAATATTAGACAAATCTATGCAAATACTCTGTACACTGCCTGCAACAAAAATACAAATCCATGCAAAGTTTCATGCAGAGATGTTTCATCTAAGCATTACAAAATTAGTGACAAAATTAAAAATGCTCTAAGCAAGGGCATAAAAAAGCGAGAGTGCATTTGAGATGAGAGGGAAATTATGCAGTAAGCGCTGCCGTTGGCCTTGCTCTGCTGGGGCGTTGCCATACTATGTGAAAGCACTATGATTCGCACATATGCAAATGCTATGTGTGCATGTGTGTGTGTGAAATACATGTACATGACATGTATTTGCATATATATGTTAATCTCAGAGAATCATTAACATGTGTTATATGTATGTAGCGTATAATGCGCAGGCGTAAAGCTTGTGACGCAGATATGCTGACCAGAATATGTTTATGAATGAAATGCCCGTATATATAGAAATTCACACATAAACATATTTCACCACGGCCAGCAAACGTGCGTGCGTTTGCACATGCTGGCAACGGAATTCCCCTAGCAACAAGGTAAACTGAACTGTGGGGCAGCCGCCAAGAGCCACGCGCTGTCGCACACTTTCTCCCACGAGCCGAGTCAGGTTGACCGCCAGCCGCAGCGCCGGCTTCCTCATTACATTATTACAAAATATAATTTTCAAGGTGTTTGATTACATGCCGCCGGCACACGCTGTAAGCCATTATCAGTGCCAGCAACAGTAAAAGCTGTGCATGAATCGCCACAAAAGGCAATTCTGTTGAAATTGACCTTGGCATTGGGCTAACGCACACGAAATAAGAAAAAAAAAAAAAAAAAAAAAAAAAGGGAAATTATTTATTTAATTGGCATCCTTTCATGTCTGACGTCGGTGCAGTTCTAAGCACAGATTGTTTTTCTCTTTCTTTCATTTTGCTTTTTTGCGGCGCCGGCGCGCCTTTTCGCTTACGCATGCGCTCGCTCTCTCTTTACTCCTACCCAGGGGCGGGCGCACACACGCGCTCACGAGAACACGAAGCTGCTCCTGCGCTCTGCCCCTGTTTTTGTATACGTATAAAAGCTAACAACTTTGGGCGAAGCTTTCATTTGAGTTCGCAGCTTATCAGGTGACGGGTCGTGGGTTGTTTGCATTCAAGTGTTCTCGCTCTTCTCTTCGTTTAAACGCCAAACGCTTAAACAATAACACGTATACGTCGTGTTCGCCAGTGGGGCAGGTGCAACTGCATGTGAATTGTTCAAAAAAGTCTATTTGGAATTTATAAAAACAACAACAACAATGCGCATTAAGGTGAGTTGCAATAAATATAGAAGAAAAAAAATGCAATTCTTTCGAAACTGTTCTAAATCCCAAAAAAGGCACTTTAAGAGTTAACGTTGCAAATTTCCCACTATTTGTGCAATATGTGCGAAATAGTGGTCAATTGACAGCATAAACGTTTAATTGCCTTTTATGGCTGATATTGAGCGTTGTTAGCTTTGTTTCAAAGAGGGGTGTGTACCATGCAAACCTGTCCACAGCCAGCAAGATCACCTGTATGTGCTAAAAATAAAAAAAAAAAAAACGCCAAATGCGCTTTTGTTCTCTGTAAAACACAAATAAGCATAATGCGTTTCGAATGCGGAAATGTGAGCGCTTATTACATAATTTTCACTTCAACTCTTTGCAATCGGGGAAGTTTCGCACATTAAAACGGGCAATTTACAAAAAAAAAACAAAAAGTACCAATTTGGCTGCGTCGACTTGCAAATGCGCTCCAGTTAATGTTTGTGACCCAGTTTGTTGGCCCCCCTCCCCCAGCACCACAAGGCGCCACCTGGCGTCAGCCAAAGCAGTTTAGCCACATACAAATGCTGGCTGGGACTTCAATTTATATATCGTATCGTATATCGTATTTTATTTTTAACTAATTCACTTGCTTTTATCCTGCAGTTCGTTCTGCTCACGCTGATCCTCGCCAGCTGCCAGCTGAGCGGCATCCGGGCCCACTGCTCGCTGGACACAATGAAGGCGTTCGCGATGGAGGCATGCGAGCGCCTGTTCCAGCGGGACGAGGGTCGGGAGCGGCGCTCCATAGACTACGGCGATCATCATGCGAATAAAGTGTCGCGTAAGTAAAATTGAAATGCATTTAAATAAGGTCACAAAGTCAGTCAACCCATGGAAACGGTATCCGAATCCGAATCGGAATCGGAACTGCAAAACACGTTTACCACAAAAAGTCAATACATTCATTAAACAAAAGGCAAATTAACCGTTTTCAAGGCGCAAGTTCAAGACAAGAAATCCGCATTGAATGCGATTTTTCCATATATATATATATATATTTATTTATTTCCCTTTCTACTCGATCCCTTTGCAGATGAGAAAATGCACAAGGGTCAGCATTATGTCGGACGCAGCAGCTATCCGCACGGCGGCTATCTGAAGGTCAGCGAGCAGCACTTCCATCGCCTGATCGGCATGGACGTGCTGCCACGCTACAAGCCACGCAAGCAGCACCAGCTCAAGAAGCTGCGACCCAAGCGGAACAGCTCCGCCAAGAACTACAGCAACATCTCCTACTGCTGCTACCATCAATGCAACGACGACTTCTTCTGCTGAGCCGCTCGAGAAACAACGCACGAGTAGGCGGAGGAGGAGAATCCTTCCCAAGGAATAGTCAGCAACTGTTTCCGTCCCTAGCATTAGATATAGATATATATATATTTATATATATTGATTTATCGTATTTGTAACGCGCTCAACTCTTATAGAGTAGGTACCTTAATTTGTTGCCCTGGCAGCGGGCTCGGGCCAGCAGATCTTGTCACAGTATTACACCGTAGAAAAATGCTTAAAGTATTTAGTTGAATAAGCTCCTAGATCGTAAGACCTTATATCAAATACAACATTTGTCTCCATATATACAAAAAAAAGCAACTGTTTTTGTCCTGACTGACGGGGTATTGGGCAATTCCACCCGCATGTGTGGAAAAATAGTGAAAAACGCTTGCATGAAACTTTTTTTTGTTTACATTTTCAATAAGATCTTTGAGAGAAGGCGGAGAAGGGGGCAAGGTTGGGATAGGCAAGCTCTTATTCTATATAGACAGAGGTCTAAATTTATCACCCTCCCCCCCCCCCCCCCCTTGGGGGGTTTCACGGTTTCAATTTGGCATCTAAATCTGGCAACCTGATTCTGGGTCAAAACTAATGTAAGAATTGTACCCACAAATATCGAACGTTAAGACAGGGTTTCGGGCAATTCCACCTGCATGAGTGGAAAAATCATACATATATACATGCATACGTACATGCATACATGCATCCTAGCATGCATACAAGCATCCATGCATGCATACATACATGCATACACACATACATACATATGTATATGCATACATATGCACATACACACATACATTTATATGTACATGCAAACATTACATATATGCATACTTACATACATACATATTTAGGTACATGCATGCGTACATAAAACATACATACATATTTATGTACATGCATGCATACATACATACATACATACATATATGTGTACATGCATGCATGTGTACATGCATACATATATATACAAATACATATGTACATACATACATGCATACATCTACATACAAACATACATACATACATCTACATACATACATACACCTACATACATACATACATACATACATACATCAACATCTACCTACATACAAACATCAACATCTACCTACATACATACAAATACACCTACCTACATACAAACATCTACATACAAACATCTAGCTACATACATATCTACTTACCCGCCCACCTCCTCCTGCGCCGCCTCCTCCTGCTCCGCCGCCTCCTCCACAGTTGCTCCTCCAGGCCGTCGGAGCCAAAGTGCCCTGCCTAGTTGAATTTTAGCAGAGCCTACTTCATTTTTTGAGATTGCAGCACAGCGACAAATCAGCTTCGTGTGCGTTTGGTATGGGAAAACAAACATGCATACAAATATACATGAATGCAGACATACATACATGCATACACAAATACACACGCGCCCACACACACACACACACACACATATGTACACACACACACATATATATATATATATATATATATATATGCTTGTATCTCTATTTATAAGTCTATTGATTCTAGCTGCTTGATTGATTGACTAACTGACTGACTGATTGACTGACTGAATGACTGACTGACTGAATGAATGACTGATTGACTGACTGACTGATTGAGGATCCACGACAGGGCGAACTTTAAGAGCTAAAAGCAGAATTTTAACTGTAAGTTAACTTTCGACTTTCACTCTCTTTCTTCCTCTCCCCTTACTTTCTTTCTCTCTCTCTCTCTCTCTCTCTCTCTCTCTCTCTCTCTCTCTCTCTCTCACCTTCCTTCCCTCTCTCACCCCCCCCTCCCTCGCTCTCTCTTGTTGCACTTCTCAGTTAAGTTTCCTATTGAAATATTCATTTGACTTTATAAGAAACGAAGCGAATTCAAGTTGAGGAAGGTTTTCGATTGCCTTTCCCGGAATGCAGCTAATGGACATGTGCTCCGCCAGCAGCAGGTGGCAAAGCAATTTAAAAACCCAACGATTCGGTAAATGGAGCTCCACTTGGCCAGCGGCAACAGTCGGAGAACTATGTGGAGCACAAATCTCTGGTGGAATGGACTTATGCTGCTCGCGTGCCTGCAGAGCGTGGAGCCGAAAAAATATATCGTGCGGACGGACGGGTGTAAGATCGAGGATCCGTATCCGTATGATGCCGAGGTGTGGAAGAACTTTAGGCGCATCGAGTACACGGAATGCAGCACGCTCCAGCCGCTCACCCGGGCGGAATACAATGCCAGCACGGAGTTCTATCAGCTCCATATCAATCAGAGCGCGTTCCAGCAGTATCTGAAGATTGATCTGGACTTCGCGGCGCATTCATCGAGCTCGCCCAGCTGCTGCTATATGCCCGTGGAACGTGTCACGGAGCGGCAGGTGGATCTGGGCAAGAATTGCATACCCTTCGAGAGCGGCGTACAGCTGCGCAACACGACGCTCGGCTTCCTCGTCCAGTGCTATGCCAATGGCAAACGAATCTATACGAACGGACACGCAACCGTGCCGGAGCGCGAGCACGTGCGACGCCGCCTGGCGGAGTGGGCGGTAGAACGTGGAGCAGCTGTGCCCAGTGTGCTCATCGTCGCCATGGACACGATATCGCGGCAGCAGCTGATGCGCGCGTTGCCCCTGACACGGCAATATCTGCAGTACACGGGCTGGTTTGAGCTGGCGGGCTACAACAAGGTGCGACACCAAATCCTCCTGCGCACAGTTCAATTGAAAAGCTTCCTTTGCAGGTGGAGGACAACACGTTGCCCAATGTGCTGCCTTTGACGACGGGCTACAATCGCAACAGCGTCAATCACATGTGCAATCCGGATGAGGAGGAGGGCCTGGAACGTTGTCCGTTCATTTGGAAACTCTACCAGGATCTGGGCTATGTGACGGCCTTCGGGGAGGACGACACGCCCATCAACACATTCAACTATCTGATCAAGGGTTTCCGCCAACCGCCCGTGGACTATTATTTGCGTCCGTATTTGATGGCCGCGGAGCAGTGGCTGGACGGGAGCGACCAGCTGGAGCAGGACTCACAGCCGTGCCTGGGCTATCGGCATGCCGCGGAGCATGTGTACGACTATGCGCTGGAGTTCACGAGTCGCTATCGGAACGACAGCTACTTCGGGTTCTTCTGGACGAACACGCACAGCCACGGGCACAGCATATCCCGGACGAGCGCAATGGATCGGTATATGCGCCGGTTCTGGCAGCGCATGGTCGAGCAGGGCACCATGGAGCGCAGCGTTGTGTTCTTTTTGAGCGATCATGGTCTGCTGGATGGATCCACCAGGCGGACGCCGCTTGGCTGGCTGGAGGAACGTTTGCCCTTCCTCTTTATTTGGCTGCCGCCGCATTTGAAGCAAGCCCATCCGGAATTTGTGCAGGCACTGCATGATAATCGTCAGCGTTTGACCAGCCCGTTCGATGTGTTCGTCACGCTGAAGCACATCCTCCGGCTGGCCAGTCCCAATGACCTGGCCCATTTGCTGGGCGATGCCGCGGATTGCCCCAGCTGCCAGAGCCTGCTGCAGCCGGTGCCGCTTTCCCGGACCTGTGCAGATGCCGGCATTCCGGAGCATTGGTGCACCTGCAGATCGTACTACACCTACAGCAGATATACGTCCACGGATTATCTGATGGCCCAGCTGATGGTGCGGCACATTAATGCTCTCTTCGAGAAATACAGAGATGGCAAATATGCGGGCCTCTGCAAGCCCTTGACTCTGATGAACATCACGCGGGCCTCGATTGCCCGGCTCAATAAGGCCGATAATCCGCGCATCTCAATACATCGGCTGCAGATCCAGGTCGAGCCCACGCAGTCCATTTACGAGGCAACCTTGAGCCACAATACCAGCTCCCAGGATATGGTTATATCAGGCATTAGTCGTCTGGATGAGCACAAGGACTTCTGCTATGGCGAACAATTGTATCAATTTATTTGCAAGTGTCGCTAGGAACAGATTATCACTAGGATTGCTCAGGTGTTAATTTGTTATATAGAAATGAATATTATAATATGTACTTACCTGAAAGTCACATAGATGAGCACAATTTTATTTGAATCTCTTAGTACGAGGCAAAAAGACGTTTATATACCACTGAAAGAGAAAGAAGTAGAGTTAGTTTTAATTTTAATATCAAATTTTTTAAATTCAAATTCAAACCAACCTGCGCCAAATCAAAAAATCGATATTTATAATGGGCGTCATCGATAGTTGCTCACCACGAAGCTATGACGATAGTTGGCAACTATCAGATATTTATCGTCAAGTGTTATCGTTGCTGCTCAACAATCGATAATCGTGCTGCCACTGCGTTATCGAACAATTTCAAATGCCTATATTTAAGAAAATACGCAATAAAGTTAATTCTACTACTGAAAATGGAAAACAATACTTTTATACCAGAGTTAATATAACAAAACATTTGTTAAAATGGGAAACATATTAGTAGCTATTTAAATAAGGTAAATTGATATGCATTAAATCTCAGAATTACTTCTTAGAGAACCTACTTGTTATTGATATGCTAAAGCTTTCGCAATTGTCATGGTAATTTGATTCACCTCATATATCACATGTATAATAGACGCCTTGGCAATCGTCGCACTTGATCCTGCGGCTGCTCTGTGCGTCGATGGGCTGCATTGCCTCGAAGTACTTGGACACAATTGTCAAGATCTCGTCGCGATGCTCCACCAGAAACTCGAACGTAAAATTCTCGTAATTATTGATGCACTGCATCAAGATGCGATAGAGCACCGATTCCGTGGACAGAAATGTGTTCAATGAACGCTCAATGCCATCGAGGTACTCCTCGAGAAACTTGCGCACCAGCTGCAGGAGTAACTGCATCGACTGCTCCCCAAAGTACTTGGCCAGAGCGTCGAGCACATCCAGCAGGCTGCCCACGTGCCCAATATGCTGCACGAACTTCTCACCAAAACGTTTGGTTAACGCATCCACATTTATATGCACCTGCCCGTCCGGGTCCTGGCTGATGAGCGTGGCGCTCAGCGCAGCCAGCGTGGCGGCACCTTCGCTCAAATGCTTGTGAATCTTGTGCATGCCCAGCAACGCCTCCTTAAAGGGTATATCATTCAACGTGCGCACCATATCAAACTTCTGGCCAGCACAGTCGCTGTGCAGCTTGGCCGACTCCTCGGCAATTTGCCCAAAGACTTGCCTGCAAGCAAATAAAGGGGATTAGTTCGTCTGGTAAGATAGAGTAGAACCTTTACCTGGTCTGATTGCTGACGGCGTGCCGCAAGGATTGGCCATCGGTCGCCTGCTTGGCGAGGCGCAGATTGTTTATGGAGTGCGTAAAGATGACCAAGCTGGCGGCTATTTGGAGCACATCCAAGCTGCTGAACGGCTGATCATCGCTGATTTTCTGCAACGGGAAGGAAAAGCATGTCAAAATCGGGTGTAACCGACTATCAGATACCCTGCAAATAACAGCTGCAAAGAGATGGCAAGGAAACTTCTTTCTGGTCATTGGACTTGTGGCCAGATATGCCCTTGTCGCTTTGTTAACAGAGTATAAGAATTAATGAGCACAAAAGCTCGACTCACCAAATACAAATCGTAGACGCCATTGGCCACACCCGTGCCGGATAGCACAATGGATGACACATTGATGCCCTTCACGGCCAGCTGAGCAGCCGCATTGACTTCGGTGCGCGCCACGCTAAGCGCCGTGCTGGCGCCCGCCGCGCCCAGGCCGACAACGCCGCCGGCCACGCCCAGCCAGCTGTTGCGCGATTCATTGTCTAGCAGCGATATGGACTGTCCATGTTGGCGGCGATCGTTCAGACAGCTGACGGAGCGCACGGTGCTGTAGGCAGCCGCCGTGACGCCCACCACGGTGGCAGCCAACAGAATGGTTGGCGCCACGGGCAAAGCCAGAGCGGCAGCGACGGGCACGCTGGCGGCCAGGCCACCGACTGTGGCCAGAGCATCGCCAGCTTTGAGTAGGGCGCGTTTTGAGGCGGGCGTGGCATGCACCATGAGATGCACGCCATTGTCCTCGTCGTTGGTGAGCCTGTAGATGCCCTGGCAGGGCGCAATCATTGTGCCCTTGGGCAGCGTATTGTTGTAGACATATTGCCGCCAGTTGGCATAGACCCGACCATGCTCGTCTATGAAGATCATGCAGCAGTTGTCGCTGTTCTCGCTATCTTCACGCACGCACTTGCGCGTCCGTATGACGGGATGACAGCTGTAGCTGGTGGCATGCAGCGCCAGTTCCGGATCTGTTTCTGGTGTCACCAGCACGTAGATTATTGCCGAGAGCAGCATGCGATTTGTATAGCGCCTCTGACGCCAAACATTGTCAAACACTTTCTGGCGTCGTCTGGCCAATGTTTTGCTCTGCTTTGTCGTATTCCCGCTGATTAGATGCTCAATCTTTTGCATTAGCACCTCGCCCTGATCTGGCGCAAGTCTGCAAGAAAATCATATTCATTGGTTTCTTATTGGATATTTGAATTTACTTACGCATCCCAGATGATTTCCGAGCGCAGTCCGCTGCTCAGTGCAAAGTCCCGTTGCACCTCATAAACAGAGCGCGTCATTTTTTAACTACATTAAACGATGCGTAATTAACGATTCTAAAATAAATTCGATCATCTGTTCGTTGTTATTCGTTTGGTTGCCAGGGCAACTAGCAGCTGATTGCAGCAGGCAATAAATTGCACAAGCATACGCAAATGTATGCAAGTGTGCGAATGTAAATTGTAAATTGAAGGAGGGTTTTTTGAATTTATTATAAAGTTAAGATGCAGCCCTGACGATACCAAGTACTTTAAACAGGGCCGTTAAATCAATTACAATCTATCGAAATAGAGTCGCACAAAAATATCGATACCTGTGTGTTATTTGACACAGCCCTGGCATTTTGTTTATAACTAAATACGCGCAACCGCCGGACACAGCAATGCGAACGTGTGTACGACAAATTTACAGTTTAAATTCAATTAAAGCAAGCAAACATTGACTAAAGTAAAACTGTAGTGCGCCAAATGCAGCAAGTCAACTACAATTACGGGCAATTTACGTAAGAATTAACAAGAGTGCGCAGTGCGAAGACAAACAGCGTTGTTGGCCAAAACTACCCAAAAGCGCGCACGCACACACGCGCACGAATACCAAGAACAAACAGACACACACACATATATATATGTATATATGTGTTTGTATGTATAAAAATATACATGTGTATAGACACATATAAGCCGCAAGTAACTAACAATTGACATTGTGGTCCACCTGTTTGTTTATGACAGCGGCAAAAACTTAAGAGCACAAAAAAATACAATTGTTAACAAATTGCGTATGCATGTGTCACGCATTTGTTGCCGCCGTTGATAATAACAATAGAGAGCTTATGTACATGCATGTACATAACCCTAGGCGCAGTTCAAATAAAAAGCCAATCAACCCAAAAAAACGTTGCTGGTCGCGTGTCTTATTTACATCAACTTATTTATGGCTTCAAATGCGCAGCTCGGTAAAATCATTTTGTTAATCGCAATTGCCGTTTTTTTCTACTACTTCTTCTGGGTGGCAATACTGCCATTTATGATACTCGATGAAGGTGAGTATCAAAACAAACACTTCTATGTGTGCGTATGTGTGTGTGTGTGTGTCAATATTATTGTTAGCTTTATTAAATAATCTCGGCTTTCATTTGGCGTCGCAGCTTCGCGGCTTTTGTGCGGTAATTAAAGTTCCGCAGATTAAATTCGTTTTGTGCGACAAATGTACAATATATATACAGAAAGACCCCCCCCTCCCTCCCTCCCTCACCAACCTGCCTATCATTGAGTTAATGATGATGTAAGGTGTGTGTGTGTGTGTGTGTCCGCTTTTTTTTATGGTTCGTTCTGTTTTGCCGCAGGGGTTGCTAATATTATTATTAATTTTTGTAATTTCTGCCATTTAGCAAAATAGAAAGCTGCCACTTTCTAAGCTTAATAACTAATAATCATTTTCTAAGCTTTTCAAATATTGCCATTAAAAATTATAATGATGTTTTTCAACACGTACAGTGCTCACTCGCTAATTGCTACGCTCAGAGGTCAGAGTTGTCAAGTACTTAAAAATGGAAATTTAAAAAAATGTGAATACTCTTAAAATATTACGATTTGATAAAAAAAAAAACTATAATATTATTGTTATATATATATATATATGTTAACAGTTGAGGCGATTTGTCCGCCATTTTGTTTGTTTTTATGCGAAAAAGCGTCTCAGCTCTTAAGCATAATTATTTGTTATAGGCAGTGCATATTGCAGAGTAAGCCAGATCGGGCCACTATATCATATAGCTGCCATGCACATTAGATATCGGAAATGCAATTTTCCTATGTAAAAATCTTTTGTTAATCATTATTTAATTAATTATTTATATAGAAATATGCCGCACATCTATGTATATTTTTTCAAGGGTATTTCCACTTTGTCAACCCAATGATAACAGTTTTTACCGCTAATTTATTGCGTTCTGTTTTTAAGCACATGCTCTAAATATAGAATTTGAGAAAAAAAACAACATCAGCATTAAATTGATTTCAAGAAAAACATTAAAAAAAAGTATAATATATATTTATATATTGCAAATGTTTGTTAAGCACGACTTCATTTTGTTTGCGTGTACACATTAGCGAGCGTCCACTGTAGCTAGGTGTTGCCACGTGGCAGTTCGATTTAACACAGTCAATGTCAAGGTCGTTTTATCCATCTCCCTCTAACTCTCTCTATCTGTCTCTGTCTGTCTCGCTCTCTCTTAGGTAATGCCATATTGTCGCTGTTTCCGCCGCTAAAATACGCGTTCATTGTGCCCACCGTATTTGGGGTCATCTGCCTGGGCGGCATTGCCGTATTCAGTTTCTATCACATTTGGAGCATTACGCGGCAATCGAAGCGAAATTGAAGATTGTGCCCGCCGTGAAAAAACAAAAAACAAAAACAGACGCAGATGTGAGGCGACGCCAGCGACGACGTCAATAGGGTCGCCAGCGTCTACTCGCCTGCGAGATCAAGCGATTACAGCCAGGCGCAGCTGCTGCGGCTGCGACGGCTGCTCTGGCCGAGGCCTCAGTTGGTAACAAGATGCCGCAGTGGCTGGTCATTGGCATCTCGGGTGTCACCTGTGGCGGCAAGACGACGCTGGCGAAAAGCTTGCGCGACTATTTCAAGGGATTGCGCAATGCGCCGCTGTGGAATACACCGTATACGATTGGCGAGGTGCAGCTCATCTCACAGGATGATTACTTTCTGCCCGTCGATGACAGGCGGCACAAGCGTGTGGACAAACTGAATGCGATCAACTTTGAGCTAATCACCTCGCTGGACACCAAGCAAATGCTGGCCGACATAGCGCACATCATCAATGCACCGCACACGGAACAGATTGCCGCCTACGCCAACTTTGAGCATTACGCTCTGCAGTACCAGCAGCAGCAACAGTTGCAGCAGCAGCAACAGCAGCAGCAATATAATGCGGCATATTATGGCAAACAATTGCCGCCGGCTGCCTATCAATATCATGCACAGCAGCAGCCGCAGCATCTGCGGCAAGCACCGCATCCCGGCCAGCAGCATGCGGATCATCTGATGCGTTTGAATATCAATGCACAGATTGCCGCTCAGCTGCGCGATAAGAAAATCAATGTGCTCTTAATTGAGGGCTTCATGATCTTCAATCAACCGGAGCTGCTGGCGCTGTGCAATCTCAAGTATCACTTCCATTTGCCGTACGAGAAGTGCTATCAGCGACGGATCAAGCGCACCTACGATCCGCCCGATGTCACTGGCTATTTTGAGCTGTGCGTTTGGCCCTACTACGAGAAGAACTTTGCCGAGTATCGTGACTGCAAGGACATTACCTTTCTCAATGGTGAGATTAGCAAGGAGAAGATCTTCAAGTTTGTGCTGCAGCGCATTGTACACTATTTCGAGGAGCGTTGCGATGTGCCCACCGTTGCCGCAGCTGCGACCACATCGCCGATTGCCTGTCCGCCGCATCAGAAGCGCTTCGGCATGCTCTACATGGCCGCCACGGCGGCGGCGGCGGCGTCGGCCTGTCCCATGGAGCAGTAGCCAAGAGGAGACTAGCCTCTAGATATAAATATTCTGTAAAAAGCAAAAATCATGTACATTTAAATCCTAGTTTTAGCCTGGAATTTAACTGGATTTATGCATCTTTCACTAAACTTAAGCTAGCTTAAAACACGACACATTCACGGCAAAAATCAATATGGTTCAGGAATACAACTATATAAACTATATATATAGAAGGATGGATGGATAACAAAATCACATGAATGAAATTCAATATATTATATATTATTATTATTATTAAAATATATAATTAGATTAATGCATCCTCCAGCTGTAAATATTAGACTAAGAACTATCTATAGTTATTTTTTTTTTCTTGTGCGAAGCAAAACACACCGAATTAAAGTATACACTAAAAACGCCTGGAAGAGGAGCCGAAACAATTCGTTTGTGCATTGCTAAATTTGTAATTGTTATTTTATTGCTCACGCAGAGTTTTAAATGGGGGAAAAAACGAATGGAAACGTTGTTAATGAAAATAAATAGATTATACATATATTATCGTATATATATATATAGAAGTAGTATGTGCGATTATACAATACTCTATCGAACGGGTTTGATTAGCTCTGCATGCACGAATTTATTGCCAATTTCTTGAATGATTAGTTTAGCAGGGTTTGCGATTATATCAATTGTCGACTTAGAAAGTATGTTAATAACTTTATGCTTAATTATGCTGCGTCTGCCTCCAACCAGTTCCGGCTGCAAAGGAGCAAAGTATAGATTAGTTCCGAGTTCGACCCTTGAGAATATATATGTTTTTGCAACCACCTTAGAGCGCATCCCAGTCGGTCTGACTGTTGTACACCTCCTCCTCCAGCCAGACGGCATAGTTGGCCTTAAAGTAATCGGTTAGCTCCACCTTGCGATCCCACCAGCCCGAATGGCCAAAGAATGCAAAATCTGAATGCGTCAGTATCTCATCGCTGGGAAAGCCACCTTCTACGCCGTAATCGTGCAGCTGCTGGCTCTGCTGGCCGCTGCTGTTGGTGACGCCGCCGCCGCTGCTGCCATTGTTGCCATATCCATTCGAGTCCCGATCACCGCTGCTATTGCCCGCATGCATATTGGATTGCTGTGCATTCTCGGCATTCTGGGCGGCGGTGCCATTGTTGCCCACACCGACTCCGCCGCCGGCGCCGCATTTTTGCGTAGCCTCCGGATAGCGGCGCAGATTGAAGCGATCGACACAGGCGCGCAGCGTGCACTCCTCGGCCTGGAAGTCCCAGGGACGCGACTCGAGATCATTGCCAAAGGCCCAGTCATCGTTCAGGCGATGTCGCACCTTGGAATAGATGGCACTCAGAGTCTTCATGTTGGACTTGCGCCATTGTCGACCCAAGTATTTGGTTTGCATTTTCAACAGCTTCAGCACGTACAGCTGCATCATGGCATGCCGCACCTTGAGCGTCTTCTTTAAGATAGGCGCCGACTTGAAGACGACCAACATCATGACGCGCGAATGCTTCCACTTGATTAGCTTGTTGAGAATGCGCAGCAGATTGATGCATGAAAAGACATTGCGCCAGGAGTACGGCTTATCGGACATCTCGCCGCCATACACAAAGCTGTCGCCGCTTAAATCCGGCTGCTCACCGATCACACAGGAGGGAAAGTCGAGCAAGGGTATTGAATTCTTGGTGTTCACATACTCCGTGATGGTCTGGTTGAAGAACTTCAGCACCAAGGGTATGCAATTGGCGAACACCAGATGCTGGGACATGAACTCGAACTGATAGACATGGTTGATCTTGAAATGCTTCAGATAGAGCAATATTATGGCCGAGACAGCCTTCACAATGATTTCCTTATGGCGGCCCATGTCGACGGTCAGTTTAGTTGACTGCGTTGCGGTCAGCGGCATCTTCTTGGGCAGCACATCGGCCATTATGTTGATGCTCTCCGTCTTCGACTTGGATGTGGGCGAGGCGGCCAGCAAGACCTTCAGCAGGGCTATCATATATTGCGGCAGATTGGGCAATATGGCCTGGTAGAGTATCTCGGCCGGCGTCAGCTTAATCTCATCTTCGTGCGTTGAAATGGGATTGCGTGCAATGTCCTCCTCCTTCTTGATCTGCATGTCCGCCAGGCTGACATACATGTGACGCTGCAGCGTCTTGAAGCCCTCGTGAATGGGCTGCGGCAGACCCGCCAGACTCTCGTGATCCCCAATCAGCGAGTAGCCAATGAACTTGTTGCGCGATATATCCAGAAACTGATCAATGTCCTTCTGGCGCACCTTTGGCGTCCAGGGCAAACGCGCCGTTATCTGCACGGCCGGCACTGCGGCCGGGGGCTGTGTAAGACTTGGTTGATTGTTCGGGTTAGCTGTTGCCGTGTTGCTGTTGTTCCCGCTGCCACTGTTGTTGCCCGACGACGTGGAAGCGGAGGGATCGTCAAAGGGTCGATAGTACTGAGAGAGATCGTCCTCGCCGTTGCCCGTGCCCGAGCCAGTTGTTGAGTTGCCATTGTTGGCATTCGGGCCGCCCTCATTGCCCGAGAGCTCCATATCGATTTGCTCCGGCTCGTCCAGGAAGCGTTGTTTCATTAGCGAGCGCCTGTTAGGCAATAGCAACAAATGAGAATATGTATTTAAATAAAAATAAACAAAAACCTTACTTGAAATTCCGCTTGGGATACTGATTCTCCAGTATATCAGTTGCCGTCGCTGGCGGTGAACTGGCGCGCATGCATTTGGTTACCTCCAGTGTGTCCTCGGTGATCGGTTCCAGCCCGATCTTGGCTCTGTACTCGTTCTTGAGATTCTTCAGCACTTCCATGCCGCCAAGTCCCAGCAGCGAGACCTTCCACAGCAGCAGCACAACCTTCTTCATGGGAAACTGTGGTGCAGCGCCGCTACAGAACCGCGTAATCATGCCCAGCAGCTTGACGGCGAGCAGCTCACCGTCGGGCAGGGGGCTGTTGATTTCCTGCACAAAGGATTCGGCCAGCTGCTTGTAATCCTCACTGCCCTTTTCGCGCTCATCGCGTATTGTCTCCGTTATGATATACAGCACTGAGAGTATGACCCGTATATCCGTTGAATCCACCAGCGTCACGTTGGTAATCTTGACCGCCACAATATCTGGAGAGCAGGCGGTCTCGATCTCCATGTTGAGCAAATCGATGAACGAGGAGAAGACGCCTAGCTGATAGAGTACAATGACATTGTCGCGCGTATTCTGATGCTGCTCCTCGTCCGATTGCACCTCGGCCCAGCAGCCCTGTGCCAAATATAGGATGCAGCGTGCCGCCTGCATGCGAAAGGAGCGATCCGATACCTCCAATTGATCGACCAGTTTCATCACAATGCTGCGCTGTGCAGCGGCGTCCTGCTTCTGCCAATTTGGCGGCAGATCATATAGATCCATTTGGTCCTCAAATGCCTTGACATTCATTTGGAATTCACTGAATTCCGTGTAACTGTAGAGTTCGGCGATTTCATTTTGATAGCTATCCACATCGGCGTAAACGAAATCCAGATCAGGCCCATCACAATTAGCATCCACGTCGTGAGTATCCTGCTCGAACGAGTTGTTTATGGATGAAAGCATCATTTAGAGGCTGTTCTGGACAAGCTGCAGCAAATATGTGTATGTGTGTAGTTGTAGATGAATATATGTGTGTGTATGTTGTGTGGAAATGTGTATCCTGGCTTGGCAGTACGGCTGCTAAGGGCACGCCCTTTTCTCACTACACTTTGCCAAAAGCGCGCATAATACTATTTATGCGTTAAACACTGCATTTCACTATAAATTTTGCAAACATAATTATTCGGCAGACTATCACAAAAAATCAAGCACAAAAGAAGAAAAATTTTAAGTGTGACCAAACTTTGATTGCAATTTAATGCCACTACGCTACGATATATCGATATGCACATTGAGATAGCAGTATCGATACTCGTATTGCGCCTATCGCCTCCCACAGCAGCTATTTATTTGTGTTTTCGCACAGTGCCGGCAGCAGTTTTCATTTGAGCCTCAAAACAAAACGATTACGAAAGAAGTAAGAAATTTCACATACTTGATCAAAAAGCATAACAGATTTCATTTGTGGAGTGTCCGTGTGCAAAGAGCATAGCTAGTGCCCTTACGATTGGCTGTACTTTGTACCCTCAGTGCATATCAGCGTGAGCTTGCAGATTCTTATTGGCACAGTGACTACCAACTGCAAGCATATACATACATACATAAATATATATATATCTATCCATATATAGAATTACGTTTCAGAATCAGAAATTGTGCATTTGTAATTAAAAGAAAATGGCTGGCCGTTCTATAATATCCCTTCTGCTTGGTGCACTGGCCACGGCCTTGGGCTCGTACATCTACTTCACCAATCAAGTAATTACAATTTCTAACTACTGTCACGCACACAACTCTACAACTACAGTTCTATCGAAAAGTTTGTTTGCATGCCCAGTCAAATGTCGCGTGAGGGCTACTAATACGACGTTTAATCTAATCAGCGCATTTCCCATATTAGTATTAAAAACAGAACATATCTGAATATCAATATACAGTTATCTACATATGCACATACATGTTGACTCATTCGCTCAGACGTAATTTCAATATGACTTTGACCTTCAACCATGCAACCATTGTTGTGGCAGGCCATTTACCGGCTGAGCTAGCTCTGAACAGTGCTGCCAGCTCCGATATTTTCACGCCAAACTAGCTTTTTTTTATGCTCTGGTTTCGATAGAATCGATTTTTTGAAGAATTTTGCGAATTGCACGTAAACTAATTCAAATCAAAACTTGAAAATCATATCTCTTTATAAATTATCATCGCTTATCTACCGAATTGGTAAAAACACTTAAATATTTTTGATTATCATCATGATCTTCATTTCATTTTTGATTTGAACATTGAACATTGAGAATTTATGAATGGCCTCTTTCACTTAATTTAAAACAATGTAAAGCAGAGGTTTTTAAAGAAGTTAATGTTATGGACATGCATATAAATAACTACCCAGAAACTAAGTCTCAACAGCTTTTTTCGTGCAATTTTAAAAGCCAAATCTAGCTTCTTTTTTAATGAACTCCTTTGCAACATGGACTAGCTGGTTTTTTTTTTTGCCACTGGACAACACTGTTTTCGACTTCCTATTCGATTCTCATTGATGATAATACAGATTCGTGTGTAATCCTTATGACTATTTGCAGTTGTCTTCCGCTTGCAATTAAATATGAATTTCAGACACATTCAATGCATTACAAGGCAAACATTCAGGTGCTTCAAATTGCCAGCAACAACAACAAGAACAACAACAACAACAACTCGTAATTTTGGTATAGCTGCAATTCAAATGAATCAGTGTCCTCGCTATTGTGTTGTCCTTTTGCCATTGGTCGCCGTTGTCAGCAGTGTCAATTGCAGCGCGGATTTGGCAACGAAGTCCCAATACTCGACAGCAGCTGCCGTGAGTAGTCGTAGTAGTGTCTGTTTTATGTAGTTGTTGCGACTAATCCCAAGACTAGCCAAAAACTAAAACCCAATTCGCCTGCTGTTGTTGCTTGTTGCCTTTGGTCTGACTGCATCTAAATTCTGTTGCTGCTTGTGCTCGTTTTTGTTTCATCCGTTGTAATGCCTTCTATTTGTTGCAGCTCGACATGTCTAACGGCGATTACAAGAACGCAGCGTCCATATACGAGTTTACCGTGAAGGACACGCACGGCAACGATGTCTCGCTGGACAAGTACAAGGGTCGCGTTGTGCTCGTAGTCAACATTGCCTCCAAGTGCGGTTTGACCAAGAACAACTATCAGAAGCTGACCGATCTGAAGGAGAAGTACGGTGAACGCGGCCTGACCATTCTGAATTTCCCATGCAACCAGTTCAACTCCCAAATGCCAGAAGCCGATGGCGAGGCCATGGTTTGCCATCTGCGCGACTCCAAGGCCGACATTGGCGAGCTCTTCGCCAAGGTATACGAACTGTTAATCCAGCTGAAGCACATCTAAACGTTGTTCTCTTGCCCCCATATAGGTTGATGTTAATGGCGATAACGCTGCGCCGCTCTACAAGTATCTGAAGGCCAAGCAGACTGGGACTTTGGGCAGCGGCATCAAATGGAATTTCACCAAGTTTTTGGTGAACAAAGAGGGCATCCCAATTAATCGCTATGCACCCACCACCGATCCCATGGACATAGCCAAGGACATTGAGAAATTATTGTAGATTCCGATCTCTCGATCTCTATCTCTATCTATATAGCTCCTAAGAAGAATTATCTAACTGTCTAGCTTGCGTCATATATGTATTTTGACTGTAGCCTATAAACTAGTCCTAGCCTCAGTTCTGGGCACATGCAGTGCATGTTCAAATTGTAATGTTATGCTGATTACATTTACTTCAAATAAACGCAAATAATCTATGAAATATCGACACTTTTTACTGGTCTTACCTCCATGATGGCCATGCGCGCCTGTCGATAGAGCTTGGCCAGTATGCCCACGTTCATGATGACGCCTTCGCCCTCAGTTTTGGGCTTGCGCACCAGCTTGTAGTGTATCCAGACCATGTCATGTTCGTGATTCGTCATAAAATATATATTGATATATTGAGTTATAAATGTGATATTTTGTATTTTGTGCTTGTTGAATGGTAGCTGAAATTTGAAATTTTGAATTACAAAATAGATAGAAGTTGACAACTATATAATTTTTCTCTAGAAATACAAGGCGAGAGCCCCAAATATTTATGCTGTTTATACCCTGAACCCATTCAAAATGGGTATAAGGCTATTTGTGTAAAATCCAAATGTATGTAACAGGCAGAAGGAAGCATCTCCGACTCCATAAAGTATATATATTCTTGATCAGCATCAATAGCCGAGTCGATCTAGCCATATTCGTCTGTCCGTCCGTCTGCCCGTCTCAGGGACTTGAAAGATGTTGTAGATGTAGATGCTCCTAGTTCCCGCGCAGATCGAGTTTGTTTCCGATAATCGATAACTTACTCCGTTGCCAAGCAATCGATAAAAATCGATATCGATATACTGTTTTTTGGGCAATTTTGATAAATAATAAGAGCTAGAATAGAATAAAATAGAATATGTATATGCATTTGATGTTGGAAGAAGAGGGCTTAGGGTATCGCCTAGTCGGGAGCTCCCGACTAGAACCTCTTACTTGTTTCTTGTTTTTTTTTTTTTTTTTGGTTTTTGTTTATTTATTTAAATAATTATGTATTTTTTGGGTGCAATTAATCATTAAATTAATTAGTATTATTATTGTTTATATAAGGTTCATATATATATATATATATTTATACGTATATATATAATTATATATCGACTTCAACTTTGCATTGTTTTGCTCTATTTTTGTTGTATTCCTTCTGCTTCGCCATTTTAAAACATTTTTTTAACCATCTTTTCTCTTTGTTTTTAATACGCCTACTGGGTGCTGTTTTTTTTTTTTATTATTTTTGGTTTTTTTGTTAGTTCAACTCGTAAATTTGGGTTTTTGTTGTTTTATTTTTAACATATACACACACAATTGTTATAGATTTGATTTGTTGTAACTGCTTTTACGGGTAAGTACATTCATGATACATCATATATATATATTGTATTCCAAATCAAAATGATAATTAATCAGAACGCACTTTTATTTACTGCACAAAACACAAACATTGTCGCTAGTTCGAATATATATATATATTAGTTATTAGTTAAGTTAAGTCATAGTTCTTGTTCAATGTTTTATATGCATATGAGGTGTGAGCTGTGTGTGTGTGTGTGTGTGTGTGTGTTTGGTTTCTCTTTGTATGTGTTTGCTTGTATTATTATTAATTGAACAAAACTCTATCAATATCAAGCAATTGGCGACATATTGTACACGCTATCAATATTGCTAAAAAATACCTGCACATTGTTTTCTATTTATTTGAATATTTTTGTTCTATTTTTTTTTTTTTTTTTTTTGTTAGTTTTGTTCAATTTGGTTTCCTGTGGTGCCCCAATTTGTTGGTTGGCAAAGCACTTTTGGGCAGGCGCTTGTTTAATTGTTAATAATTTGATTGTTTAAATATGTATGTATGTATACATTTATTGAAACAAGTCAAATACACATATATATATTTTGGGTGAGTGTGTGTGTGTGTGCTGCAGTGCTGCCAAGTCAGCTATTTTCAGCTAAATTCGGCTATTTTCAGAGATCGTGAGCGTTAAACATTTGAATTTTTCAACGAGTACTAACAACCCTGTCCATTGCCAATGTGTACTCAGCAAATTAATTTAGCTACTTTTATTTTTGTCGAAAATTGGCAGTTGGCAACACTGGCGTGCAACGGCTTATTGAAATTTGCCGCGAATGAATTTGCAAATATGACTTATTAATTTTTTTTGGAATTGTCGCATGAAGTGTGTATTTTCCCTATATACCATAACATATCAAGTTAAATAGTAGATGCATTATGCATTATCTAAGTAATTTGCATTTGTAAATGAATAGCCAAATATTCGATTATTTATGCATTTCTCTTTAGCTTTAGCTGTTTGTCAAATGAATCAGATCTAATTAACAAATTGTGTGACAAGCGCTTAATTTAATCGTTGAACTGTTTGGTTTTTGTTTTGTTACTTTAAACGAAAATCGCAAATTTATAATTATTGTATATTTTTGCTATAAATGTTTGCTTTTCTATTTGTTTCTTTTACTTGATTTGACTACATTTGCTTTTTAAATATGCTGCACATTAAACATTTATTTAATTGTTTGAATTTAGCACTAGATAAGTAGATTGTTGTTCTTTGTTACTTGTTGTTATCATAAATTTCTTTTTTTTTGGATTATACATTTCAATAATTTGTTAAATAACCTTTATTTAGGAACAAAAGCTTAGAGTTTCTCTAGATTTGTTTGCTTCTTGTTGTTCTTTGTCATGTTTTAGCCGAAGAAACTGAGTTCAAAGAGCTGCGAATGCGAAAATTTGTTGTTGGAAAGCAACCTGAACCTTGTCTAGCGCTGGCGCTCCTTGTTGCCAGCGCACAGGGATTAAGTACAATATATATATATATATATATATAGCATAGCTTTATTCGTATATGCATATATATATATAAATTATGTATATATATATATATATAGAGAGAGTTTGTTTTTATGCATGAAATAATGTAACCATAAACAAATTAGCAACAACTTGTAATTTGTCCGGAGCGTCTTTTAGTTTTGTATTATAATTATTATTCATATTATGAGACATAATTTACTTAAAATGTTTTGCAGCTGTCGCATCTGCATTGAAATTATTTTGCTTGCAATTCTCGAGACTTTTTTTTTTCAACTGAGTTTTCTTTTTAGAGGTTATTTGCAATCGAAAACTATTTCAACTCTTCGATAATTACTTATACGCCGCCGTGCTCCGGCTTGGCCACAATCCCGGCCCCGGCCCCGGCTCCATCATCGACCAGCGCCGATTGTCCGCCTGTGGCTGGCTGCTGTTGCTGCGGCGGCGGTGGTGGCATATACGGCGGATATTGCGGATATTGCGGCGCCGGCTCGCCGCCTATGAGGCCAAGTTTATCTGCGGCAGGTTGTTGGAGGGAGAGAGAGAGAGAGAGAGAGAAGCACGTTAGTCACTGGCAAATTAGATAAGTTTCCATTGCGTTTTGCTCAATTGAATGACAATTACATTGATACGATTACACACGAGTATTACGTACAAATATAATACACTTCTATTTAGGGGGGGAGGGGAGGGCAATATAAAGCTCTGTTATGGCGGTTAATTCAAAGCATAATGGATAAGCTAGTGCCACGCCCAATAAAGATAACGCTACCTTTATTGAGCGCGCCTTGCCCTCAAATATGTACAAATATTCGTTTTGGCAACACATTAATTATACAATTTAACTGATTTTAAGCGTAGAAATGTTTTCATGTTTTTCCCAACCAACTCGAGGTAAATTTTTGTTTTCAAACCAATTTTCAGTTACATTCGGTCCCCCGGTTAAAACTCTTGGTGCATTAAAACTTGGGCAAATTGTCCATTTTTTTCTTTTTTGGAAAAACAAAACAAAATAAACACATTTGAACAACAACATCAATAATGTTCTGAAATCATAAAGCACACGCATTAACGAAAAAGGAATTTGCGTACGATAACGGTAACTCACATACATGCAGATCAAATGATAATCGATTAATAATCGATATGTTTTTGGTATTTTCTTTTTTGCTGTTGCTGTTGCTTACAGTGTTCGATAATATTGTATTTTCGAATGGTTTGAGCTAAGTGTGAAATGTTACTGCTTCAATTGCAGTTATTTTTTTTTTTTTTTGATATTGTTGTTGTTTTAGTTGTTGTTGTTGTGCTGTTGGTTTTTGGATAGTTCTTGTTGTTGTTGTTCTTATTAATTTGTTGGTTATGAGCGTATTTATTGTGCTGTCGCGACGTCATCCGTCGGACTCGGTGGGTCATCGGTCAATTTCTCAGCCAATGGTTTCTCGAGTGTCGTTGTTGGTGGTTGTTCGGATTTGAGTGTTTGGTGTGCTACTGTTGCTGATGCTGATGCTGGTGCTGGTGCGGATGCATGTACCTGCTGCAGAGCAGGAGGCGGAGTAGCAGCAGCATCATCCGACATGAAAGGTTCTACGAGAAATTTTCGAATTGCATTTTCGATACAAAGCCATTTTTGTTCTTTCATAATTTTCCTTACATTACATTAGTATGTGAAATGAGTGTGCGTGTGTGTGTGTGTGTGTGTGAAAAATAGTTTTGAACTATTTGGAAAACTGAAAATAGCTTTTAAGTGATTTGTGCGCCTAGCAATAATATTTGCAATATTTGTAATTTTTCTTGTTTTTACCTCGAAATAATAAGATTTTAACGAATTTTTGGTTTCTTTGGATAATTTCTTATTGATAAACATAACATAAAGCTAAAGCTTGCACAAATTGTTTTTTTTTTTTGTTTATTTTTCTTCGTCTTTCTCTGTAATTGTTGGATAAAAAAAGTTCAGTGAGTGTACAGTAAATGTGGGCGTGGATTTGGGCGTGGTGAAAAGTGGGCTGTAAATCTTGGTGTAGAGAAAAGTATAGAGAAAATTAGAAAAATCTTTAAAAAAAATCATACGAAAATTGCAGTACTTTATGCATTTGCTGTTTGGGAACTGCGCGGCCCATACTCTATAATTGATTAGGGGCGTGGCATTGTGTTTTTTTTTTCAAAACAAAATGAAGACAAACTTGAAACGAAACACTCAAACAAAGCACAAAGTGAACGCATCTATTCAATTCCATTCACAATGAACCACAAGTAGTTCCTACAAATAACGAATACAAATGAATATCGTTCAACTTTGCTATGGATACTCAAAATACTCGCTTGAAGCGGACACGGGGGGGGACACACACAAATACAATGATACGATAATTATAGTGAAAAACAAAAAGGGAACAAACAAATTACCGAACCTGGTGCGATAGATGTTATCGTATGGAACCAGATGATGTTGAAGTCTCTTTCTTTTTTATATAATTTTTTTTTTTTGCTTAAATACATTGGATGTAATGGCTCGATGGAACGTTCGATTTTGGATTTTTTTTGGGCAATTTCGTAAGGCGTCAATTTCGATTTCAAATTCAAATTCAGTTTGTGTTTTTTTCTTAAGCGAACGATCTTCAAACGTGCTCTACTCGCAGCGGTTGTTAAATGAGATTTGAATTGTCGACATAGTTGGGTTGATTTTTGGCATTGCATTGTAACTAAGTTACTAATTAGTTGCTGCATATAGTTAGTTTAGCAAGCTACATAAAGTTACCTAGAGCAAGAAAAGTTGACGGAATGAAAAAAAAATCAACAAACAAACAAACAAACGAAACGAAAATTGAATTTAGTTAGGTGTTCAGTTCCAAATCAAAGCTAAACAAATTAGAGCTAAAAGAAGTTTTCTCAGAAATCAAAAGCAAAAAAACAATTATTGTTAAACTTTTTGGGGATACATTTGGAGAGTGTGTGTGTGTGTGTGTGTGTGTGTGTGTGTGTGTGTGTGTGTGGTGGCTGTGTTTCTGTTTGGGCTGCATGTGATGAACACTTTCAAGGAATTTCCGCACGAAGCACTTACTTGCTATGATGCCCACAATGACCAGTCCAATGACGCCCATGATGATCATCATCTGTAAATGGATAGAAACGGATTAGAGTCAATTGAAGCCGAACTTGAACTTTGGACAGACCTTTAAATTCTGCAGCCAGAATTTTCGTTTTAGCTTGCCCGCCTGCTGTTCGAACTGCGAGGCGCCCTGCTGCAAGGCATCGGCACGATCGTCCAGCTCGGAGAGCTTGGCATCACGCTCCAGCACCTTCTCGACATTCGTGCGCATAATGTCCACGACCTGCAAAAAAAGTATTGAATTGCTTAGGCGTTCGATTATTCGATATGCTCGCTGCTTACCTCATCGACCTGGGCCTGCGTCTGCTGCAGTCGCTTTTGTGCCGCAATTTGTTGCGGATTGCGCGGTCCGCCCACGATTTCGCCGTCGGCGCCCTCGCCCGCCGGCGGGCCATCGGTTGGTGGTGCATCCACAGCTGCTGCAGCGTCCGCCCTGCGTACGGAGAGAGAGAGTGAGAGAGAGAGAGAGAGAGTCAGTCGACATAAGGACCTTGGCCAAGTCTAATCAACTCCCCATGGAGCACTCAAATGAATTAAGTACGGGCTAGCTAGGTTTATTTAGTTGGACATGATGTGCTGGCAACATTTACGAGATACATTTAATGTGTGCTTGTGAGTTTTTGGGCAAAGTGCGCAAGTTCTAGCCGGACTACTCCATGGAGCTGGGCACTTACGGTTCCTTATTTTTGTCTTTCTTGCCCATGTCGCGACTGTAAACAGAAAATCAAAATCATAAACAAAATTTAAATACAAAACTCTTGTCAAATCAAGCTAACACATTTTCGCAAAAAACTACGTTCCTTTGCATGACTAAGCCAACTTGTGTTTAAGTTTATCGATTTTGTGGGAAAATCCACATGGCGGACACGGACTCGGACATGACTGGACGGCAAAAACGAAAGATCGACAAGAAAGATTCGCATTAACAATTCAAATTGAATCAATCGTTAATTTGGGCAACTATTTTGTTGTATCTTTACTTTACATGCGAGCCCATGCGGCGTATACGTTATTGTTTGTCTGTGTTAGTGTCAGCTTGTGTGCGTGTAAGTGTGTGCGTGTGTGTGTGTGTGTGTGTGTGTGTGTGTGTACAGTGCGTGCTCTTTTGTGCGAACACGTACGAATCAGAAAAACCGATATATCACTTATTTTTTTTTGCAAAAATTGTTTGTATATGAAAATAAAGAATAAAAAAAAAAACAAATTCTTTTTTTTTGCCCAATTTTGACTTGAAGCATTGTTTGTTCGCTTGCGAAATATTGATATTCAATTAATTGACCGGCTAAGGTCAGCTCAATGTTGTTGTTCGTTAATGCAGCTTTTCACTGTAGTTGCTTTTGTTTGCGCGTAACGTTCAAAAGAGAAAGAGAAAGAGAAATCAATAATTTCCATTTACTTACATTGCTTTCTGTTTGGTTCTGCTTCTTCTGCTGCTTCTTCGTCTTCTTCTTCTTCTGTTGTTGTTGTTGTTGTAACAGCCGCTGCTGCTATTGTTGTTGTATTAATAAATTTGAACGTCGCCTAACGTCTCGGACTGAATGTGTCCGTGTCCGTGTCGTCCCGTGTACTTTTATGCACTTGCCCAAACGTCTTTCGGTTGAGAGCGCGTTGGTGGTTGCTGCCGGATGCCGGAGGGGAAAGGGCGGGCGGGCAGGCAGGCAGGCTGGCTGCAGGCGCAACTTTTTGGCTATTCGTTGTTTTTGTTATGGCGCTCTCGCTCTCGCTCGCTCTCTCGTTCGCTGGCCGTTACACTCGGAGCCTCGCTCTCAGTGAGCTTTTCCTCAATGAATTTGCGCTCAACTCTCGGCCTCAACGCACACTCGCACACAGACACACAAAACGGGATATAACTGGCAGGCAGCGTGATGTGTGATTGTGTGTGTGTATGTATGTGTGTGTATGTGACTATGTGTGTGTGAGTATGTGCGGGTACCACTTGCCACGACAACCTTTTGCAGCAGCGCTGTTTGAAGGAATCCTCTGGCCCTTGTGTTCAAACTGTTGTTGGATAGAGTATAAAAATAGTTGCAACTATTTTTAGTATGCTTATTCGTTATGTTTATTCTATTGAATGTCGGCTTCAAATGCCTTAGCTTTAGTTACGCCCACAAAACACATGCACTCACACACACACACACGCACACAACTTAACTAAGAGTTTCTCATTTCTCACATACATATATATTTTGCAACAATTTTTAGTGCATATTTTCAGGCGCAACTGAAGCGAGTTTTTAGTTCTATTCAAATCGACTTTTGTATATGAAAAATTTCATTTGCCAAATTTGCACTGGCTTGAAAAAAATCAATGAAATTTTTACACAACACAATTTTTGGTATAAGTCAATTTAGAAGCTTTAATTGAACTATTTCGCAACTTTTGTTTGCAAGCCAAAGTCTATGCATTTGGGCTGTGTCAACACATTGTTTTGGCATTTAAAATGTAACTAAATAATAAATTATATACATTTGCGCAGCACAAAGAAAATTTTCACTTACGACGTTTTTTAGCCAACTGCGAAAACTTGCAGCTTTTCTAACTGTTATGTGTATTTGGGGAAAAAGCTCGCCCAATAAGGACGAGTTGCAAAAGCTTCGTGCTGCGTGAGAAAACTAACGAGTAGCTTTCGTCTTCTGGTCCTAACGAGTTCAAATGCGATAGTTTGATATTTGGTTAAAAATGCTATTTTACAGCGGCTTGCGAAACTTTGTCTGTATCCATACTCTGTACATTTTGAGACAACGTCCACGATTAACCTGTAAGCGCCTGTCCACTAATAGCTGCTCCTCCACCAGCCCGGTTTGGGTCAACATGCTGCGCAGCTCTTGTTCCGTAAAGAAATATACCATGGTGCCATCGCCGCGCACATAGAAATTATCCTCCAGGCATTTGCCGCTCTTGAAGCGCAACTGCGCCAGATCGTAGCGTCCGTAATCCCGAAATACGAGCAGACCTCCAGGCTTGAGATAGCGATAGCAATTCTCCAGCACACGCTGCATTTTGGAGGGCTCAATGGCCGACAGCACAAAGATCATGACGATAATGTCCTGGGAGTTCTCCTCGAACGGCACCTGCCACTGCTCCTGCGTGGCATCCATTACAAAGACCTCGCAGCGTTTGTCATCATACTGCGGCTGACTACGCAGGATTTCAATGGCACGTTCCGAGAAGTCACAGCCATATACCCGCAGCTGGGATTCGGTGCTGTATTGGAGTATGGGCAAAATGGTGTTGCCCACGCCGCAGCCCAGCTCGAATATGCTGCGCGGCTGTGAATGCTCGTTGTTCGCCATGGGCGCCAGTTCGGGAAACTCCGTGAACAGCCAGTGGCGGTCTTTAAAGAAACGATTATCGTGTATGCCATAGAACGAGTCCCAGAACTTGGGTGCATCCGACTGAAAGCGTGCCCGCTGATCTTCGCTCATTTTAACAGTTGAATTCTTCTCGACAGCCGCCTGGGCGGCTAGCTCCTGGTCCGCATCCCATTCCACGTGGTCCCTGTTGGGCAAATTTTAGAACGGTTGTTTCTTTTGAGTAACTATATTCGCATTTATACCATGCATTAAACTCGAACACCTCACGGGCATCGCTGAGAATACGCTCACCCGCGCCACTCGGCTTCTTGCGCTGGCGAGTGTGTTCCCAAGTTTTGCTGGCAAAGCATCGTGGCAGATATTTACCAGGCGTTGTGCTTAAAAACGTCGACGTTATCCGTGAGCAGACGTGTGCCAAACTGTGGACGCTTCTCATTTTCATTCGAATCATCTAAGGGTTGACTTGTGTCGGTCATGTTACGTTTCCAATCGGTTTAATTCAGAAATCCACTTTGTCAACAAATAACCGCGTTGCGTCTAAGAACATATGGCGCGAAAAGTGGCCAGACTTTTGCAAGTTGCTGGCATATGGCAACACCGGCTTGTGTATATGTGTTATCGGCTGGCCTCCACTTGCTATCGGTTAGTATAACAAAACCGCAAAATAATTTTTGTTGTATGCATTGTAGTTGACTGCAGCAAACTGAAATATATAAATAATCCAGGCAAAAAAGCGCCAAAACAAATTAAATAAAGAAAAATAATCAACAGCAAAAGTTGATTGTTGTGTGCATTGCAAAAGAAAACGTTTCAAAATGATGAACGAGGCTGCCGCACTGGCCAACATGATACCCTACGACACAATTGGACTCTACGAGCAGCCCAAGCCTCGATTCATCTTCAAGATGCCGCGCGTGGTGCCCGATCAGAAGTCCAAGTTCGAAAGTGACGAACTCTTTCGGCGACTGAGCCGCGAAAGTGAAATCCGCTATACGGGCTATCGGGAGCGCAGCATCGAGGAGCGTCAGGTGCGCTTCATGAACGGCTGCCGCGAGGGGCACACCGAGACGAGTTTCGTGGCTTCGGGTACGAATCTGCAGCTGGTCTTCAATGCCAATCAGAATCCCTATCTGCACGACAAGGAGTGCGACTTCGACAAGGAGCACGGCAAGGTGCACATTAAATCGTATTTTATCATGAACGGCGTTTGTGTGCGCTTTCGCGGCTGGCTAGATCTGGAGCGCTTGGATGGCGTCGGCTGTCTGGAGTACGATGAGCGCAGGGCCATGCACGAGGATGCGATATTGCGCGACCAGATCGATCGCTATAATCAACGCCTGCGCGAATTCGAGGACACCAAGCGTGCCTATCGCGACAATCGCCAGGACGAGATGGAGGCAGTGCGACGTGGCGTCGCCTCCGGCGGCATTGGTGTCGGCGCCAGCATGTGGCGACGTTAGTTGGACTTTTGGACGGCAACGACGCCGTCCCAGCAACAGCAGCAGCATGAGACTCAATTCGCAAATACTCAATACTTTATGGAAAACTGAAGAAATGCTCCCAAAAACCAAATGCGGACACGGATGGATTCGATTACGTTTAGATTCGCTCGAATAATGCTCCTCTAGACTTAGTTTTAGCGCTTAGTAAATTACTTAACGTATTCTTGTATGGTATTAAACATAACATTTTAATGTGAATTTATATAGTACTTAGTTAAATACTTACACATTTACACATAAATATAAATACATATATGTATACATGTATTAATATATATTATATTTATATAATACACAATAAACTTACGCATAATAATTCCGTTATTTTCATGATGACGCAGAATGACGATGATTATTAATTTACATATTTATTGGGAGAATTCTATGATTTTATGCCCATTTATTGGAGCTGATGAAATTTAAGATTTCTATTTTCCTTTGAATAAAGTCTGCTAGAAGTAAGCTCTAGCTTGGCATAATAAATATCCATCTGTTTTTCCGGTAAACTTTTCCGCAAGCTAGAAAATTGAATATGCAAAAAATTATATTAAACTTGAAAAATTCCATTTGCCATTCAGGAATTAGTCGCAGATGAAAGACGACCGCAAAGATCTGCTTTAAAGCTATAATTATTTTTAATTTTTAATAACATTATATATTTAATATTTTAGGCTAATGTGCCGCTTTGGGCTCAAACGGATAAGCACTTGGATTGGCATACAAAAAGGTTGGAAAAATAGTCAACTAAATATTTCAATTGTGTATTGCATATACATATATTATATATTAATGGATACTTTATAGACATGTTTAAAACTAGAAGAAACATTTAATGGGTGCGCGCGTGTGTCCGTTTAACGGAATTGCAATGTAGAGATGCGCAAACCGATGCAATCCTTGCCAATTTGACTGACCTCGCAGACGGCGCAAAGATTGCCCTTGTATTGGGTATCATAGGCGCTGCCGCAGAAGGGGCAGGTCACCTCCGGTTTGCCGCGATAGAGCGGCTTCCAGCTGATGGCGCAGATGTTGAACGGATTGAACTCCTCGTACTCCAGCTGATGCTCATCGATGGGATTCACCTCGCAGGCTTGCAAGATTTTACGCACCTGCTGCGCCACCTCCGGACGCGGCGCCAGCTCCAGCAGACGGCGCGCAAATGATGCCGCCGTCTTGTAGTTCTTCAGCTTGAAGAACATGTTCAATGCGGTGCGCAGCGTCAGTATCTGATGAACAGGCTGGAGCTTGCAGTGCGTAAAGTAGGCGGCCATCTCACACAAACGCTTTTGCTCCTCCAGCGTCGACTTGGGCATGCCCTTGCGCACGGTCTCCATTTTCAGGCCCACAATATACTCCGCGCAGATCTTAAGCAGCTGCTGCGCCTCGGCTGTGTCCAGTTTGGTCTCGACCACCAGCAGCGGAATACTCATCAGTATGGAGTGGAACTTGTCGATGGCCTCGCCGAATTTGCCTGATGTGGTCAGCTGGTAGCCCGCCTGAAGGCGCGACACCAGCTCGTTTAGCTTAATGCCTAGCGCAGGACGCTGCAGCTTCGGATTGGTCTCAGCGAAATTGCGCAGCGGATGACCGCTGAGCGACTGGAGATTGGGATTGGCCGTGTAGCTGGTGCGCGAGCAGGCATAGTTCTGCAGGAATAGCGTTTTGAAGGGCTTGAAATTGACCACGCCCAGCTGATCGTTGAGCAAACGGAAGGCGCTGTTAAAGGCGCCCGCCTTGACATGATCCAGCACCAGCTGCGAATTGTTGGCCCAATGCTGTGCCGGCGATTGACCCTTGTTCGGCGCCGCATAATAGTTGCTGTCCAGCGCCGAGGCCTTGATCTTGGAGGCCAGCTCAATGGGCACCACCAGATCATCGTCGCCCACATCCCAGCCGCCGCCGCCGGCGCCCTCCTCCTGGGCCTCGTCATTGCTCAAGGCATCATGCATCTCCTCATCGCCGTCATCATCTTCGCCCAGGCCCAGATCTGCATCGGCTCCCCAGCCATCGCCGCCGCCATTGTGCTCGTCCAACAGCGCAGCATCCGCATTGATGTTAAGCGCTTGGCGTGCAGTAATGCTGCCGCTCGCCCGGGTGACCATGGCACCCTCAAAGAAGCCCTTCGACACGGACAGCAGCGGCCAGTTGGTCTCCAGCTGCTGTATGGGCACAGGCGGCTGCAGCAGCTGGGCATTCGGGTTCACCTCCGGCAATGTGCTGCCCTCGGCGCTAATGGTGGCGCCCAGCGTCTCCGTCAGCTCATCCAGGCCATGGGTGGCCGCTGTGAGATAGGCCAGCGACAGCTGTCCACAATTCTTGAGAATGCTAACGCGTTCCTTGACATCGCCCAGGAGCAGGGCGCCCTGGTACTGTGCGGAGACATCCTTGCGTATTTCGGCAATTTTATTCATACGCTTTAGCTTGTCCAGATTGCCGGTGATCAGATAGAGGAAGCTCAGCTTATCAAAGTTCTTGGTGCGCTGATAGCACATTTCGACCACCTGATGATTGCCCTGCAGCAAGGCGGCCTGGCCCAGCCGATCCCAGCAGTCCTTGTCGTCCAACGCTTTGGCCGCCTGCAAAGCAATCTCAATGTTGCCGCACTCCAGGGCCAAGCCGAAGCGCGTCTTCTCGTCCTTGACAAAATGCAGCGCCACCTCCGGATAGCCCTTCTGCTGCAGATACGCAATGATGCTCTGGCCCACGAGCCGGGCATTGCGCACCATGTGCAAGACCTCGTCGTATTTGCGCTGAATTAGCGCCAGCTTGAACTTGTATTCCGTGGGATCGATGTGCAGGACACGGGTGCGACACTCGCGATCCAAACAGAACACCTGATTGCCCTTGACGCGCGTCAAATAGATGGGCAGATCCAGGGTGCGTATGATGCCATGATCTCCATTGGTGATGGCATATTTGATGTGATTGCTTGTCGTATAGATGAACACGCCCGACTCGTCCCAGGCGCCCGATTTAACGCGACAATTCTCCTGCACGGTGCACAAATACTGCAGCCGGCGATCGCAGATGGTAACCGAATGCTTGCATAGCAATGCCACCAGCGACATGTCCGGCGACCAGACCACATAGCGGCACTTGGCCAGCTTGATGCTGCCGACGGAAACCAGACGCTGCACCTCGTACAGGGTCACATACTCGGGATCGCGTATGAGCAGCATGCCTGTGCCGGCATAGAAGATCTCCTCACAGAATGTGGGTATCTTTTTGGTCACCTCGTTCTTGAAGTTCTTCACCACCAGCTGCTGATTGCGATCGAGCACGGCGAAACGATTGCGTGCCACCCAAATGGCCGTAATGCCGGAGCTGCGCTTGCTGTCCGATTCATTTTGTCGGTCGCTCTCGCTGTCCTTGGGGATTTGGCACAGATCATAGGTGCTGTTCTCCAGATTGTTGGTGCGCGTGCATATCAACACCGCATTCAGTGCGGGATTGTAGGACATGCTGTAGACGGGCGACTTGCCGGGCCGCAGCTGCATCACCACCGTGTCCTTGGTCGTGGTAAAGTCCAGTTTGCGCAAGAAGCGATCCTTCACGTAGTACAACATGTTGCCGTGCACCGCATAAGCAGGACGCTCACGCTCCAGCTTGAAGACCACCATTCCTGCAACCAAGCGCATCAAATTAAGAGTTGAGCTGGAAACGTAATCTATTGCTACTCACCCGCATCGTGGCCGGCAGCAAACAGATTCAGCGTGGGATGAGCTGCCATAATCCAGAAGCGCTCGTTGTCACGCCGGAATGTGAACAGACACTGGCGCTTGGTCATGTCCCAGACGCGTATGCTGCGATCCTCGCCGTTCGAGATGATCAGATCCTGGCGTGGATGGAATAGCACGCAGGACACATTGTTATAATGGCCACGGCACGTGTCCACCTCCCAGGCCTTGTACTCGTTCATGCGCCACAGCTTCACCAGGCGATCATCGGCGCCGGACACAATCAGCGGCAGCGTTGGATGGAAACTGGCCCAGTTGACGCCGCGATCGTGACCCTCTAGTACATGCTTGACCACTGCATCGGCCTGGCCGAACAGATCTGTGGCGCCCGGATGGCCCTTCAGGTGCTCATCTAGTCCACCGGGACCGGGTGCCACATTCTTTTTACGCAGTCCGGATATGTCCCAAACACGCACCGTCTGATCCAGCGAGGCGGACACAATTTGATCCTCTGTCGGATGGAATTGGGCGCACATCACATAGTGATTGTGCCCGGTGAGCACACAGATGCAGTTGCGCGACTGCCAGTTCCAGATGCGTATGGTCTGATCATCGGAGGCACTCAAGATCCACGGATACTCGTGATGAAAAGCGACTGTGCGTACATAATCCAAATGCGCCAGCAGCGTGAAAATGCAGCGACGCTGTTTATAGTTCCACACCTTGATCTTGTAGTCATCTCCGCCGGACACAAACAGCGGCATCTGTTGATGAAAGGCCACACTACGCACGGGTCCGTCATGCTCATCGAACTTCTCCAGCAAAGTGTGCATGCGATAGTCCCACAGCTGGATGACGCCGCTGTGCAGACTGGTCAGGATCCAGGGTCGTTTCGGGTGAAACGAGAGACCCTTGACGCGAGCCGATTTTGACTCGAAATTGGTCAACATTTTGGCAAAGTCTTTTGTTTTTCCTGCTGCCGTGGCGATGTCTCAGTTGTAGTCGGCTTTTCCTTAACGTACACTTAAACAGCCTGTGTCACGTATATTTCTGTGTAAAATTATACAAAAGCACTCGTTAGTATTTACAGCACGATATTAATTAATAAATAAACATATACAAGCAATTTATTTAACTATTTTACGCAAAAACACACACCAATTATACGAAATTTTCAAGTGACACGTCAATTGTCTTCTTCTTTTCTTCTTCACTGCCGGGGCTGCCAACTCACGAGAAAAACAGCTGCACATATCGATACCTGCTATTCGATAGCAAATACATTTATCAAATATCGATACGATATTCGCACAATTTTGTTTACAATTTTGTGTTTTGTAAAATGTAAAAATAAATTGAAAGCAAAATGACGCTGGCACATCGCGCGCTCTTTACATGGTTCATAGTCTTGGTGTTCCTAATACTGCTCTGCTTGCGGCTAGATCCTCGCACCACCTGGAACTGGTTTGTCACCTTCACGCCGCTCTGGTTCTTCGACTGCATTTTAATTATTTACGTGCTAATCAAATTTATACGCAAATGGCGCAACCTGAACCGCCTGACTGATCTGCTGTCCCTCTACAAATGGAACATTGCCGGCGTGCTGCTAACAATAACGTCCCAGGTAATGATATGCATGACCCTGGAGTATCCACAGCAGATACCCATCTATGTGACCATGGCACCGCTCATCCTGCTGCTCTCGACGGCCATTGTCTATGTGGGCGGAAAGCTGAGGCGGCGCGAAGGCTGGCTGCATTGAAAGGAACACAGCAACATGCTACACTTATCTCTATATATATTTATGTATTAAGTCTAAATGTAATTCACATTAAAAATGTAAACAAAAAATGCCAACGATTGCCTAAAAGCCGTATTTGCTTTGTGTGGCGCGACGGGTTTGCCTATTGGCCGACCACATGGCCTGCAGCTCGGCCTCGTTGGCCTTGGCCTTGTGGGCCAAGTAGGTGATTTGATGCTTGCGCCTTGTGCCCGCCACGGGCTCCTCGTCCGTCAGCACGCCCGTTGGCTGGAATGTGGTGGCCGATGCCAATGCCGTGCGCATCCATTCCTCACGATCGGGCAGCACTTGAGAGCCGACAATGTCAATCACCTGCATTTCCTTGGCCTCCTTGCGTCGTCGTTTGGCATTCTTGCCCACCAGCGCATCCATGGCCTCTGTGTTCAATTGCTGTTCCTGGTAACGCTGCTGTGCCTGTCGCAGCTCCTCCGCTTGCAGGTGTGCCTCGTCCGCCTGCTCGTCGGCAGCCTGACGCTTTGTCTGTTCCGACGACAAGTATTTGTGGCTAGCCTCAACCATTTTGGCTGCTCGCTTGGCCACTAGGGCACTGATCTCGTTGCTGCTCACCTCCGGCAGCTGCTGCTTGCTGTTCAGCGAAAAGAAGTCACCAGCATTATCCATATCCTCGTCGTCTTCACTGTCGCTGACACTGACCAGCGGCGCAGTCGGCTTGGCACTGTTACGGCTCTTTGAATGCTTGCCGGGCGGCGCTTTAAGGCCATCAACTGCTTCGGTATTGTGTGCGGCGCGTCGTTGTTTAACAGTATCCGGCACGAAAGCTGGCGCTGCATTGGCCTTTTGGGCAGTATTACTGGCCTTCAAAGCAGGCGGCGGACCATTGTGCTCCGGTTTGGCTGCCACGGGCTCAGATTTCCTGGCGAAATCCCGCTCAGACTTAGCCTGCGGCAAAATGCTCAGCAAGCCGCAACCCTTTGTGGACTTGACCTGCGTTTGCCTGCCATTTAGTTTCGCCGCCTGCTCCTTGTCCACGTCGGCGAACTCCCTCAGCGAAGGTATGGTGATCTTAACGCGACCCCTGACAGCAGCTGCAGGCGCCGCTTCGCTACCTGCGGGCGGCACTGCCTTTTTGTGCAAAAACTCATCGTCCAATTCTTCGATGATAGCTGCTGATTTCGCAGAATGCCTCGGCATGGGCAGCTTGGCAAAGGCCTGCGTCACATGCTCATCCGTCTGCTGCGCGCCATCCTCCGCGTCTGGCGTTGGCGCAACGGCTACTTTGGGCTTGGGTAGGGCTAGCGCTAGCCGACCAATACTGGTTGGCCTTAACTCCTGTAAAGACACTTCCTGCGGTATAAAGTCGTCATCGTCATCGCTAATATGTCCATTGCTTGCATTTGTTTTCCGTTCGGTTGCCCCGTTTTGGATGGCTGTTGGTGGCTTTAGTAACTGCACTTGTATGCCCGCAGAGTCTTCCTCCATATCCGATTCCTCATCGCTACTCGCAGCGTATGCAACCAGCGACATATTTAAATTAAAATTCTTTTAATGCTCAGCGAAATTCACAAATTTTGATATGCGTTGCAAATGTTTCTTAATATAAAATGTCAGCTGTTCGTTGAAACGGGGCACCCTGTGTCAAGTGTTGCCACAATTTGAGCGATGTTGTTGGCAACATGCTGCTGGCAGGGTAATAAAACAGTATGGCAATGCCAGGCAAATGGTCTGTTAAAATTTGAAAATTTCATCAAACCTCTTAATTGGAAACTATTTGTAAAAGTTTAAATACCTGGCAGCAGGTAGTGCGGAATATTTAATTATGACAGTAGCTGCAGCTGTTTAAGCTGATCATAAAACTATAAAATGTAGGTAAATATCGCTTAACTTGCCCATATAAATAACATCATCGATTTAACCAAGCATCAGTATGAACTTGCGCATCGAGCTGTTAAGAGATCCGAACATGCATCATCATCAGAATCTTGGAGATGCGGCTGCCTTGACGGGCATGATGCCGCCGTACGAGACAATGGCTCTCTACGAGCAACCGAAGCCGCGTTTCATATTCAAAATGCCACGCGTTGTGCCAAATCAGAAATCCAAATACGAGTCGGATGAGCTCTTCCGCCGACTTAGCCGGGAGAGCGAGGTGCGCTACACCGGCTACCGAGGACGGGCCATTGACGAGCGTCGCATGCGTTTTGTCACCGACTGCCGCAAGGGTTATGCAGAGCTCTCATTCGTGCCCACGGGCACCAATCTGCAGCTGTACTTCAATGCCAATCATAATCCGTATGCCCAGGAGCAGGAGTGCGATTTTGACAAGGAGCGCGGCAAGGTACACTTGCGCTCCAGTTTCATAATGAATGGGGTTTGTGTGCGTTTCCGTGGCTGGTTGGATTTGGAACGTTTAGATGGCGTCGCCTGTCTGGATTTTGATCAAGCACGGGCTCAGCAAGAGGATGCACAGCTGAGCGAGCAAATTGAGAGCTATAATCAACGTATGGCCGACTCGAAGCGTATTTATGCGCATACGCCGCCACAGGATACTATACGGCGCGGCCCACCGGGTCCGGGGCCAGTTTCTGGACCACCAATGGGCTGGTAAAACTAGCCTGCTGGATTCAAACTAATATAAATGTCTGTAAATTGAGATTTAGTCTAATAAAATAAAAAACTATTTACATTGGACTTGCTGGACTTGCTGTGCCCCTTCTAATGCATAGAAGCATGAGAATTATTATCAGGTTGAAATTGGCGCCATTTCAGTACAACATTTTATTTTTAACATTTTTTTGATCCGGCAACGCCGCATAATTAAATCTAGCTATCGATATACAAAAATGGCCTATATCGCTTCAAGTGTCTGTGCAACTCTGGGCTTCAATACTATGAAGCTTTCAATTTGTAAATTCCCCTGAGTCACGTTAATAGAGATCCGTGTAAAAGTCAAGTATAGAAATACATATGTCTTCAGAGGACCAAGGCTATTATACAAAATCGGTTTGCCAACGAATTTGTTACACATGGACACTCAAACTGAATGCAATTACTGACCTAAGGTCTAAACATGTTTCAAGGCACTTTCCAGATTATATGGAAAGTATTGCCCAGTTTTATTTAGAAGCAGTTTGGGAGGGAGATTACACTTATGGAAATATCAATATATCCCTACGAACTGTTTGCAAAAGTGACTGTACAAATAAAACCAAATACGTCAACATTAATATATTAAATCATGAGAAAAAAAAATCCGAACTTCTTAAATTATCTGATGATTGGAAAATGAATATGGGAAGTATTGCGAAATATACTCCGAATGGCTATTTTCCTAATACACTTACAATAATCTGTGAGATCTTTGTTATAAGCCCCGTAGACAAGATTATGCCAATCGAAGTTCCCAAATGCAAATTATTCGAAGATTTGGCTGCGTTGTTCGATACAAAGAAAAACTCAGATGTAACAATTGTGACAAGGGACCAACATGAGATACCAGCCCACAAGGCCATCCTAACAGGTAAAAATAACAGGTCTAATTAAATGAAATTCGTTGCCAACAAATGCAATGTTCGCAGCACGCAGCGATGTCTTTGCGGCCATGTTTAAGCATCCAATGGAGGAGAATCGCAGGAATTCTGTTACGATAAACGACTTCGATCACGACGTTCTAACGGAAATGCTGCGTTTCATATACACGGGAGAGGCACCCAACTTGGCAGACATGGTTGAGAATCTGCTGGCAGCTGCTGAGAAGTACGGCCTGGACAGACTAAAGGCAATGTGCTTGAAATACTTAAGCGATACGCTTTCCATTGAAACAGCTGCCATCACGTTAAAGTTAGCCGATCTTTATAATGTGAAAGATCTACAACTCAATTCAGTTCAGTTTATTAGAAATCATGCTGCAAGTGTAGCTAATACGGCCAACTGGCAGAATTTGATTACAACAGATAAATATTTAATATTAAATGCATTTTGTGAGCCAACAATTTTGTTGCAATTAAATGACGGATCCAAAAATGAGACCTAAATGTAATCACATGAATTAACTTACAAATTGAAAAAGCCTTTCCCTATCTTAAAGAAAAGGGCTTTTTACTTGAATCAAATCTCAACATTATTCACATCCATATGTTATCATACAAATGTTCTATAATCAATTTTGAATATCTTTAGTTAAACTTGAAATGTTTATTATATATCATTATATTGGAGTAAAAATAAAATATATTAGAATAAGTAGAAAGTCTTGAAAAAGTTAGCTTTACTAGTTTTTTCAACTTCTGTTTAGGAAATCTTCATTAATTTAAGTTCCAAATATTGGGGAGCTTTTTGTGAGTGTTGAAGGTGTTTTTGCAGCCCTGTTGTCATTGCTCTATAAGGGTTGTTGCTCGGGGTCTTTGGCCTTAATTACACCAACTTCAAATGGCCACCACCCCAAAACTCAACCCAGCTGTTACCTTCCCCCCCCCCTCTCTCACTCTCTCTCTCACACACTGTCACAGCGGTTTCGGTCTGAGGGCGCTTTTTTTTTTGCAGAGAGCGCAACATAACAGCCGCTCTCCCTCTCTCTCTCTCTCTCCCTCTCACCTGATCTCGGCAGCAGTTACGAGAGAGCATATCGATTTTCTGGCATTCGGATGCTGCTGTAAGAAACTTTGCAACTGCGTCGACGGTTCGATTTGTTTTTCAGCCCCACAGTCAGAGTCTCAGTCTCATTTCGAACGCGTCTGTGCGCGCATATAGAAGAGAGATAAACGGGCAAACCGACCGGAAAGGCGAAACAGAAACAATTTTCATAAAATTATACATACCACAAAGTGTTTTAGCACAAACATTCAACATTTTGTATAATTTTTGTGTTTTGTTCGTTGTTTTTCGTACTTTCGCGAACAAAAAATAAATAAAAAAAAAAAAAAAAAGCTGCGACGTGCGCTAAAATTAGCGACCGGTGTATTATAGGGTGATGTATGCTGTATGAGTCCCAGTCCCAACTGGCTACGCCCCGCCTCTCAGCCGCCTCCGAGCAGAGGAGCGCGCCCCAAATTGCTGAAATTTGTGAATTATACACATTTCAAATAGTATTTGTGCAAATGATGTGCTCAAGATTGCCAGCAATCGAGTAAACACAACAAAACTATAATAAATATTTGGAAAAGCAGCACAAAAACGTGAAGTGAAAAATCAATCGATACGCGTGGAAAACAAGGACCATTGACACAAAATGCCAGCCTCAAATACGATTGTGCTGAGGAGTCTATCCATATTGTTGGGCCTGTTCTTCATATTTGTGGGCACGCTCAAGCTGACGCCGCACATCAGCAAGGATCTGTACAAGGATCTGGTGAGTGAAAAATCGATGCACATCGTTTGTTTACTGCACTGATAGCTAGCTGTTAAGTGTTGTTGGATAACTAACAAAAGAGTGTTAGACAATTATTGCAGGTCTTAAAGTTAGGCTTTAGCAGAGAGGCGAATAAAGAGAGAGAGAGAGAGCAAAGAAGTATATAACGGCTTGCGTCGGCTTTTCGGGAGCGGCATCGCTCTCTCATCGATTTTTCGCTGCGAGAGCAAAAACAAAACAAAACAACCACCATTCCAAAAGAAAATACAATTTCACATTGTTATCCTGCCAATTGGCGCTCTTATGTAAGTGGGTCATCGCTTGTTCTTTTAGTAAATACAAAAGCTGAGCTATATTTTATACGAATCGCATTTAAACAGGAGACAAGGGTTTGAATATCCGGCTCGTGTGGGGATAATATTGCTCTTTAAGCTTCGAAGTATATCGAAAACTGATAATAAACATAAAACTATTTTCGCAAATTACATGTACGGAAATTCTTATAAATATGACTAATATACATATACAATTAGTTGCACCATTGAACTCGACCTCGTCAATGCCAGGCATTGGCCTTCACAAATACAAATACACAAATACGCAATGATCTTCAGGAATATACACATACATATGTATATGTATATGTATATGTATATCTATACATATGAGCACGCAAATAAGTTTTTACTTTCCAACACTTTGCACAAGTATTTCTTTTTTTTTCTATGACGGAAACTATGCAGAGCGCACTCTGGACTACAAATTGTTTATATATTTCATATATATTCTATGATAAAGAAAAAGTGTGTTCGCGTAGGCGAACATTTTGTTTTGTAATTTATGTTTGTTTGCACATGAAATTACACGGCGTTGCTCGGCTCACTGATTATTTTGCTATAAACAATGCCCCGTTCTTTTCGCTATATAAAGCATTATAATTAAATGAATTAATCTATTGGCATTGATACCGCGCCATTTAACTTTCAACACGAGTTTTCTTGGCTTCTTGGTAAGCTATTTAATTTAGAAATAAATATGTATGTATGTATTTATATAGCCAAGCGCTGTTGCAATGCCGAAACATTTATAATTACAGCATCGCGCATAAAAGGCACTTGGCAAATGCCAAACAAAATGTGAGTGTGTATGACAAACACGTTTGGCTTTCCTTTTTATTTATTTAAAAATAAACATATTGCCCGTGCCTAATCACAGGGCGCGTCTCGAGTACTTGGAATGGAATGGGAATACTTGGCTCGGTAAATAAGTTATCAGACAATTATTAACATGGCAGACAAGGATTCAGACCATAGTTTGGTGGCCAATTATATATATACATATATATATATTTTGGTTATGCAGATGAAAATTAAAAGTCAAATTCCATATCTATCAGGTTAGAGAGCTCGAGCTAGAATAAGGTTTGTACACACTTTTCTTGATATGGTGAAAAAAAACAACAACAACAAATTAGTGTAACCAAACTTATCAAAGACAAAAACCTTAAAATGTATCAGTTTCTGTGCTGCCAGATCGCCGCCACATATTATTTTCAATTAAATTAAATAAAATGTAATTTTAACTTTGCTTTAATTTTCCATTGCAGCGCACTGAGTATGTGAAATATGCCAAGGTATTTCCGTTGACGGCGCTGTTCGGCGTTAAAATACCCTCGAAATGGTATAGACGAACCGTTGGCATATTGGAAATTGTTTGCGGCCTGGCCATGGCCCTAATACCCTATCGTAAGTGCAACAATTGGATTCTGATAATTATTTAGATAATTGAAAGCTCGTTTAATCCCAGATAAAATCAAGAATGTAGCGAATGTGCTGCTGCTGCTGCTGATGCTCTTGGGCATCTATCAGCATTGGATGGTCAGTGATCCGTTCGAGCGCTCCGGACCCGCGCTGGTGTTCACGTTCATGCTGGGCGGCCGTTTGGTTGTCTGGTATCAGACCAGCCGCAAGGAGGCAGCCGAACTGGCGTCGGTCAATCCGCCGCAAGCGAATGGCCTCAAACAGGAATAAATGCTGCCGGCGTGTACGAGATCATATTTAGTCGAATCATAGTCGCACCTGTAAACAGCTTTGTTTTAGCACAATTAGTTGAATATCGCGAGCTCAAATTGGCGCCCTTAAATACAATATACATACATATTAACGAAATAACACACTCATTTCTAGTTATAAATTAAATGAAATTGTTTATAGAGTAAACGAAATTGAAATTGGAGTGTCTTTTTTTTTTGTTTTTCTCACTTTGGTGCCAAATAATAGAATACATACTCGTACAATATATATATAAAGAAAAAAAATAATATAATACATAAATTAATTGCGAAAGTGTTCAAGTTATAAATTAATAAACGAGTTAGAGTATATAGCAATAAAGACAAAGACCAGACTAATACAACAACATACATAAATCCCTTCAAAAAACACGGCACTCGTGTTGTTGTTGTTGTTGTCGCAGCCAACAATGCCTATGACATTTTAGCAACAATTTTAATAAATTTTTGAATAACTCATATTCAGTACATAATGTTTCAACAATTATTCAACATCAGTCGTTGGTTGTCCTTTTTTGTTTTCGTAAGCAGCTTGCAATTGCCAGCAAATAGTTGAGATTATTAAATATGCGCGTGCTCTAAGCTTTAACTGGATTCAATTGTGTGGGATTAGTGTCCTATTCGGAGCCTGTGCTGAGCAGCTTCAGCGCCTTCTGCAGATACTCGACCGCGCTCTTCACATCGTCATAGTTGAGCGAGCTGCCCGCATATTTGCAATACTTTTGTGCGGTTATCATTTGTTCTGCGGTTATTTGGACGCCGGCAACTGGGACAATGGGCGTGTAAATGGCCGCGTTTGGCTGCTCTGTGGGCACATATGGCTCAAAGCCACCGGGCTTCTCCTCATCCACTGGTGGACTCGGCAATTTGCTTGGATTCTGCAATACCTCCTCGGCTGTGGGCGGTGTTACTTGTGCAGCTGGGGGCGTAGATGGCGTAACGGGCTCCACATTTTCGGACTTGAATTCAGCAGCGGGATCATCGGTCGGCGTTACATTAGAAGCGCCATCATTGCTGCCTCCAGCTAGATTATCGCCAGCCAGCTCCGAAGATTCGTCGTCGGGAAAGGGACCAGGTATCGGAGTTTCGCCATTCTTCAGGCAATTGTGTATGTAGGCGGCCTTGTACTTGGCGTACTTGCGATTGTGCAGCGCCTCCTCGCTCAGCTCACCAAAGGTAAGCAGTATGTCATAGAGCACACCGCTGGAATAATACGCCTTGACGACGTTTCTGCAAATACAGCAAGGATTAGAGACGTTGGAATGAATTGATATGTGAACTTCCACTTACTTGCCAAAGTTCTCCTCCCGATCCTGCTTGTCGGCATAGAGAAACAGCTTGAGAGCATAGTTCTCAATGTGTGCCTGAGCAGCAATGTCGTTCGTCAGGGCCTCGTTGTCGGCATGTTGCTTCTTCATTTGCTCCAACCAATCCATAATAGCTGTTGGCCGCATCAAAACAAACGCAAACAATGGATGAGTCATAGTTCCGAAGAATATGTATTTAGGCACGTAATCTCAATATGCGCTTACCTAGCAGCAGTTTAGTCTCTTCGGCGCTCTGCGTAGATGCCTTTAGGCCAACTTGCAGCGCACTTCGAAATTAATTAAACAAAACATTGTTTCGATTTTTCTTTGGAACGTACGGACTGGGATTTACTTACTAGAGTCTTGCCCAGTAGGCTATGACAACGTCACGCGAATCATGCTCCTGTGCCAACTTTAGAAAATGTTGTATGGACTTCAATGTCGGCGGACATGGTGGAAACTCCATCTTTCAAGTGCAAATAAAATTGATTTCCAAAAAATTCTATGAAATTCCAATGAACGCAGTAGAATTTATTGTGATTGACAGTGTTGCCTTATTACGACAATATTTTTATTAAAAAAAAAAAACAGTGCGACCGTTCGACGTAAATATTATCAGATTTAAACATTAGGCAACACTGGCAGCGAATGGCCTGCTCAAAGCAACTACAGGTAAAATTGCTCAGTCTTTAAACACCGCTGCTACAAAACGGTTAGTAGTTCAGATGGTCAATACATTATGGTCGTATGATGTTATCAATATTAATTGCCGTACTTTGCACTTTAACCCACATCTAAAATATGCAGCAAGTTCAACTTTTAATTATACTTTATCCCTAACAGCTGCAACATGGCAATTTCTAAGCCGCTGTACTCGCTGTTCGGCAGCTATTTGGAGCAGCTTTTCAATCATCCGGTGCGCACGAAATCCTTAACAGCGTAAGTAGAGTGGGGCTATCTTCACTTATCAGCATTTGAAGTTAACTTTATGCCCGGCAGCTGCTTCTTGGCCACTTCGGCAAATGTCACCTCCCAGCGGCTGGCGGGCGCCAAGAAATTGAACCAGCACAGCGTCTTTGCGTATGGTCTGTTTGGCCTCCTCTTTGGAGGCACTGTTCCGCATTATTTCTACCAAACTGTGGAGCGATTGTTCAGGCATGATTTGCGCTTTAGGAAGTTCTTTCTGTTCTTGTCGGAGCGGTTAACGTTTGCTCCGTTTTATCAGCTGCTTTCGCTGTACTTCCTTTCGATATTCGAGGTGAGTCTCTTGATCTATGAGCCGTGAACTGTTTCAAGCATTCTTCGTCTTTCTGGCAGGGCAAGTCGCACAGCACCGCAGTTGAGAACCTGCAGAAGCTCTACTGGCCCGTGTTGCGCGCCAACTGGCAGTACCTGTCGCTACTTGTCTATCTGAATATAGCCTATGTGCCGCCCATGTTCCGTACACTGACCACGGGCATCATTTCCTTCATCTGGGTCGTCTATATGGCACAGAAGCGTCGCCGCTTTCAGGAAAAACAAGCAACTGCCAGGTCCACATAGACATAGCATTCCATGGAACCGATTTTTTGCTATCTATAACTATGTATTATGCATATATATTAACGCGCTCAGCGCAGATTACGCTGGACTCTTTTTTTAAACGCTTTATCTGGCGTCTCAAAGGTTTCGAACCGGGAACAATAATTGCTTTAGCTGTTTAAGTAAATTGAAACTATATATAAATGTGTACAGTACACTTAAGATTAGAGAGAAATAAGAACACCTTATCGCCTTGTAAATTTGAAATACCTTAATTGTTTTTTATCCTATGTACAATGAAATTAATGCATTTGAAATGGCAACAAATAATATTTATTTAAAAGCTAGCGAGTAATCCAATTATATTCGAGTATTGTTGGCCTTATATCATGGCCGTGTGTCTACAATATCATTTAGCTAATAAATTCAAAGAAATGGCCTAAATCAAACTTTACAACTTAGTCTCGAAGGGAATATGTCTAAAAAAAAAGAATTCTCTTAGCTTAATTCTCATATAGGGCATGGTTTAGTTTTGCATATTGCGACTATATATATATATATGTATCTGACTAGGATTGGGGGGGGTTTCCGGCTCACTTACAGTTCGCCGCACATTTTGCGCAGCGAATCTGTTAACACTCAGAAGGCTATTGCCGATGGACTTCGACTGTTGTGCATCGGCGTGCCGGCAATGGGTGTGCAGGGCGAGCTGGCGCGACTGAAGCAGCTGGAGCAGCAGCTGGAGGCATCGTTGTCCACATGATCATGATCGCCATCGCCGTTGTTAATGCCCTCTCCGGACGCCTTGTGGTGATGATAGGGTATCGGCCGCTTGCGCGCGCTGCAAACAACATGAAATGGCAAGATTAGATATGAGAAAATGTTTTGCATAGAAACTACAAAACAAAAAACAATTGTATATAGTTAAAACTTACCAAACTGAAAAATTGCAATCAACAGAAATCATAAACTAAATCCTTTTCGGAAAAAAAATATAAAGAAAAATTATATAAAAAACTTGGCATTGACATAATTTATTGTGCATACAAACAAAAACCGTTTGCTTCAACTAAATCGAGAAAAGAAATTAAAGTTTTTATCATGAGAATACAAATACAATTTAACACAATGGCAAAATGAACAAAAATAATATTGCATTTGGAAAGCGGATACGTTAAGAAAATTAAATTAAATCATAATTCCTGAGTCTGAGCTGTAAGAAAGGAAAATAGTTAATCAAATGAATCGTAAATCAGGTGCTCTACAGAATTTTCGGGCATTGCAAATGAAGATTGCAACTCAAGCGGATAATCTGCTAACGTCTGGTGCTGCGGGGTGAGCGACGGCTACAAAAATCAATTAAATAAATAATTAATTAATTGAATAAAGTAAATTGATTAAAAACAAGAAAGTTGAATACATAAACCTAGCAGAGCTGGGTTGTCGAAAGGAATCAAATTAGTTGAAATAGAAACAGAATCGGAGACATATTCCTCATTTCGTGACAAATCTATAATATTCTGGCATATATAGAAGCATATATAGAAGCAGAAAGAGGGACATATATCGATATATATATATCTACTTTATGGAATCGGAGATATATTCCTCCTATGCTGACAAATTACAAATTATGTTATATTAAATCCCACTCTGCAAGGTTTTGTCGTAAAGAAATTCAAATACGTTGAAAAAAGATAAAAATTCTCCTTCGATTTTGTTCAGTTGGGACTACCTAGTTATGCGGCGTCTGTCCAAGAAGCTGGGCGAGCCGCGGCGTCGCGGTATGGAGGGTGAACGTGAGCCGGATTGTGATGTGCCAGAGCCGCTGCTCGAGGAGCTGCCGGAGCTGCTGCGCGACGAGCAGCTGGAGCGCGACGAATGCGAGCCGGAGCGCGATCTGGAGCTGCACGAGCCGCTGCGACTGCTCGACGAGCTGTACCGACTGCAGGGGAATACCTAAGGATTAGCTATGGGCTCTACAATTTCATAGATTGCTTGTACTTACGATCTGGAGCGACTGCTGGAGCGATGGCGATGCCGACTGTTGCTCGTGCGCCGTTTGCCGCGGCTGTGATCGCTGCGCCGCGACCGGCTGCGACTGCGTCGTGCGGCGCTCTCCGCTGCGGCAACCGTTGCCGTCGATACCTTGGAAACGATGGCGTCCACCAGTGTGCTGTCCGCGAGTGCCGCAACTAAGGGCTGTGGATCGTGAATTTTGAACGGTTTTATAACAATTTTCGGTTTCTGTTGCTGATGATGATGATGATGATGATAGCTAATACTATTGGCGGCCACCGCCGCGGCCGCTGCAGCCGCATTGAAGCCACGCCCATGCTGCGACGGATGCGAGCCAAGCAGCGCCAGGCCCGCTGCAGCGGCAGCAGCAGCCGCACCGCCAGCACCACCGCCAGCACCACTCAATGACAACAGACCCGCCGCATGGCGGCCATGATGATGATGATGCACATGATGGCCACCGGCGGCTGCGGCTGCAGCGGCAGCGGCTGCCAGCAGCGCATGCTGCGAACCATGCCCATAGAGATTTGGATTGTACATGCTAAGACCACGCTGCTGCTGCTGCTGCTGATCCCGCCGGCTAAGCAGCGGCGGCTGCAGCCCATTGTTATTATGCTGATTCTTGCAGATATTGTAATGGGTGGCGGTCAGCAGGGGTCCATGATTCAAACGATTCGTTGTGCGATTATAGGTGCCGGGCGTGCCGGCCAGAAAGGGCAGCGCATTGTTCGGATTGTTGTGATTAGTATGAGGAACAGCACCAGGCGGAAGATGACCAACACCACATGCATGATTATTGTTATTGTTGTTGTTAGTATTGTGTCTACTGTTGGGATTGTTATTCAGCGTGCGATTGTGAAAGACGCGCTTCGTCTGATGTTGGGGTCTATGATTAAATTTGGCTATTGCTGTTGTTGTTGGGTTAAATGTTGTTGCTGTTGTTGCTGCTGCTGTTGTTGTTGTTGTTGTCGTTGTTATTGCTGTTGCCGGGACTGCTGCGCCACCATTTGCAGCCACTTGGGGCGCCTTGCAAATGGGCGGCGTATTTGTGTCCCTTTTGTGCGGCTCGGCGGCGACCATCGGCTGCTCGAGCGCCTCTCCAGCTGCTGCTGCTGCAGGCGGCGGCGTTGTTGTTGTTGTCGCAGTTGTTGTTGTCGTAGTTGTTATTGTTGTAGTTGTTGTTGCCGTTGTCAGTGGGTTAATTAAAGCGTTTACATTGTTAGCAACAAGAAATTCACTGAGCGAATTACGTTTGGTGGCCAGCACCAGCATAGATTCGCCGCCACTTACTTCGCTGCCCTCCGCATCCTTGCCTGCATCTCCATTCTTCTCCATTGTGCGGATTTTCTGCTTCGCCTTGGCCGCAATGCCGGACTTGAGCTGTTCGAGCATGCGCAGCTCCTGCAGCTCCTCGCGCTCCCTTTTGCTCTGCTGAAAATCGTCGAGTGCTGCCGCCGCAGAGCTTGTCTCCGGCTCGCTGCCGCCATCGTCGCTTTGGGCACGCAGCCGGACCACGGGCGCTGGCTTTGTCGACTGCTGCCGTTTCTTGTCCTGGACAATGTCCTGATAGCGTTCGGGATTGTGCTGGGCTGGCGAATAATGCAGCTCCGATGAATTGGAGCTGCCCGAGCGACGTTTACTCGGCCTTGGACTCGGCGTATTGCCCTTGTCCTTCTCTTTCTCTTTCTCTCTCTCCTTCTCCTTTTTCGACGGCCTGGGCTTGGTGGGCGTGCCCGAGCGCTCGCGCTTCACGTGGCTGCTCTTGGTACGCTCTCGTTTGGGGCTGCTTGGCTCACGCTTTAGCTGCTCCGGCGGCGTTTGGCTGCGCCTGCGCTGCTTGCGGGGCGTAGGTGTGCCCGGTTCGCTATGCGAGGAGCTGCTGCTGCTGGAGCTGTCCGACGAGGAGCTCGAACTGGATGCGGCACGTTTGCGTTTCGTCTGCTCGAGCGCTACCATCACCGACTTGGTGCCCAATATATCGTTGACAGTGTCCTCGGCCGCCTTGAAGGGATTGAATGCGGGCACCGCTGCACTTGTCGTCTTCTTGGGCGGCACCAGTAGCTCCGGCTGCCTAACGACTGCCGGCGAGGGCGTGCGCTGCTTTTTAGGCGAGCGGGAATGGGAGCGCGAATGGCGACCCAATTTACGCTCCTCGCCGCGTTTCGTCGTTTGGGAAGCCGAGCGACGTTCACGACGACGCTCTTTGCTACGCTCGCGCCCCTGTCCGCGCTCCTTGGCTGCCTCGCCCTGACGTGGTCGCTCCTTCGACTTTTGCCGCTCCATGGAGCGCTGTCTGTCCTTTGAGCGCAGTCGCTCCTTTGAGCGTAGTCGTTCCTTGGAACGCTGTCCTCTCTCCTTTGAACGCTGTCGCTCTTTGGAGCGTTCCTTGACCTTGGATCTCTGTCGCTCTGTGGAGCGTTCTTTCTGCCTCTCCCTGGAACGCACTCTCTCCTTTGATCTCTGCCTTTCCTTGGAGCGCACTCTCTCCTTTGATCGTAGTCGCTCCTTGGAACGCTGCCGTTCCTTGGAGCGCGGCCTCTCTATGGAGCGATGCCTATCCTTGGAGCGTGGTTTCTCCTTGGATCGCAGTCTCTCTTTGGAGCGTTGTCTCTCTTTAGAGCGTTGTCTCTCTTTCGAGCGCTGTCTCTCCTTGGAGCGCTGCCTCTCCTTTGGACGCTCCTTTGATCTTTGGCGTTCCTTTGACTTTTGTCGCTCCTTCGATCTGGCTCTATCCTTGGACTTTTGGCGCTCTTTGCCCAGCGACCGTTGCCGCTCCTTTGATCTTTGTCGCTCGTTGCGCCTCTCCTTGGAGCGCTTGCGCTCCCTCGAGCTCAATCTCGGCTTTGAACGTTGTCGTTCTTTGGAGCGTTGCCTTTCAGGCTCGCGTCGCGGCGGTGTTCGCGTCGGTCGTTCCTTCGATTTGTGACGGCGACTTGCGCTGCGCTCACGTTTCTCCGTCGAGGAGTCGTTGCGACGCGACTTGTTGTCCTTGCGTCGCTCCGGCGAACGACTGCGAAACGGATTCTCCGGCGTCGTGCCATTGTCCGCAACAGCCGCGCGAGATTTGCCCGACTTCTTATCCTTGGGCGCGGGAGAGCTGGAAAAAGGTTCATGTTATTTACCATATTGATAAAGATATTGGAGTTGGGAACCTACTTGGAACGTGCCGAGTCTGTGGAGCTGGCACGCGCGCGTTGATTCTTCTTGAGCTTTTTGTCGCGTTTCTTCTGCATAATAAAAGATTGAGAATTATTAACAAGCGGCACAGCTAACGCGGCAACAAAGTCTAACTGTTAGCAACATATGCAGTTAATTATATAGATATAGTTTTCATTCAGTATATGAAATCATGATCTTGATATGAAAGCTCGCCTTGCATATTTGATTGGCTCTGTGCTCGAAAGACTTCGATTTCGGTAACGATATTTCGGGCTGAAAAAACATATTTGGCATAAGAGATTGAACCTATATTGGTCGGTTCACGCAATTTCTATATATGCTATATATATATATATGTATAATATGTTAAAGAAAACAGACAAATGAAAGTACTTACAAAACTACAAGAGAGCCTTTGAAAGCTATCCTATATCAATGAAGCGCCAAGGGTTTTTATAAACAAAATATAAATTTTCTTTTTCGTTTCTTCAAAATTACTTTGTAAATTTAATTTGATTGGGTTTTTCTTTTTTTCTACATAGAACTCAAATGTTTACGAAAGGAAACAAAAAAAGCTTTGCACAAAAACAAACTTATAAATTGGGCTTGTGCAGAGCTCTATTTAAAATTGACTTTCGACTAGCTAAAACAAATAAAAGTTGAAATTAAACAAAAATTTCTAAATAATTAAACAATTTGTAAAACTAGTTTGTGTATGGGTTTGAAGCCTTTTTTTTTACCTTTTACAATATTTGTGGGGTGATTTTTTTTTTTGTCATTATTTTTTTCGTTTTTCTTTTGGATTTTTACGAATTTAGTTTTGGTATTAGTTTATATGCAGGTCTAAATTATTGTTGTTGTTGTTGTTTTTGTTTTAGTAAATGTTTCATTTTTGTTGGAAAAAAGAAGTAAATAAGCAAGAGAAGAAATGGCGTATGTTAAATATTTGGTGAACAATTGAGAAACAACGAAAAACGATAAAGTCAATCGATTTATCATTAGGCATTATATATAGTATATATATATATAGAGAGAGAGAGAGTTACAATTATATTCGTATTACAAACAAGTTTCATCAGATGATTTTACACAATAGAGAAAAATGTTATATATATGATATAGTTAGTATGTGTAGAGGGGGGGGTTAAGTTTTGATTAGAATTAGAATTCATTAGAGGTTTTAAACGTGATACATTATGAATTAGCTCAGCACATGCACTGCTCTGGCAATTACCGGGTTTTATGGACATTTCGCAACCCGAAACATTTCTTTGAAGCGCGTTTTCTGTTCACTTTTTTTGGTCTAATGCTAAGGCGATTTGCATGTGAGTTTACCTTCTCCTTTTTGGCTTTCTTGCGCGCGCTCTTCAGTTGGCGCTCCGCATCGCTGCTATCGGGCTCATCGTCGCTATCCTTGTCGCTATCGATGCTATCGCTGCCGCTGTATTTGCGCTTGCGGGACTTCTTCTTTTTCGACTTACTGCAAATAGAATGGGTATCAAATTGTGCGATTAGTGGCCATGCAAATTGATGCCCAAAACTGAGTGTTAACAGTTTCAGCTCTAGAGTTCTGGTGGACGCGTCCGGTAGACGGGGCCCACAAATTGGGGCCTGGCAGCAAACATTAAGAAGTGTGTGTTTTGGTTTTTTTAAGAGTTTTGATTAACTTGTGGTTTAGTGCTTTACCTTCATCGAAAACTGCTCAAAAATGCATTGTCTTAATAATAGTAAGTAGGTTAATAATAATAATAGAAAGAAAGATGAGAAAGTAATTCGCTTTTAATTGTTGCAAAAACACAGTTTGGTTCCTTAACAACGAGACTTTTCTTAAACTTTATGCTTGTCGTGTGTTGTGTTTAGCTGTGTGGTGTGTATAGCTGTGGTGGGTACGGCTGTGGTGTGTATAGTCGTTGTGTGTATGTGGGTGGGTGTGTGTATGTGTGTGTGTGTGTGTGTCTGTGGACTTGGTTCTTTGACGAGATTTTTCTTAAACGTTATGCTTGTCGTGGTGTGTATGACTGTGGTGTGTATAGCTGTGGTGTGTATAGTCGTGGTGTGTGTAAGTGTGGGTTTGGTTCTTTAACGAGATTTTTCTTAAACTTTATGCTTGTCGTGGTGTGTATAGCTATGGTGGGTATAGATGTGGTGTGTATAGCCGTGGTGTATATGTGTGTATAGTTGTGGTGTGTATATCTGTGGTGTGTATAGCCGCTGTGTGCATAGCTGTGGTGGGTATAACTGTTGTGTGTGTGTGTGTGGATATGATATGACATTAAAGTCCGCACAATTTTGTAACACAATACAGTTAGATATTATAAACGAATTTTACTTACCAAAAGCTGGACAAGATCAATGTGAATGTGGAAAGCGAAATGTGTGTATGAGTGTGTGGGAGTAACTGTGCGTGTGTGTGTGTGTGTGTGTGGGCTTAGAGATTAGTGTAAACTAGATTTAAAAGAAGGATAGAGCCCATAGAACCCTACGCTTAATAAGAAAATAAAACGATGCTGTCAGCAAATATGATTATCAAAGTATATTATAATACTTTTCTTTTCATTTTTGGGGAACACACACATTAGAAATTCATATAATTTCGCTGTGTTTAATAATGTTGTTGTTGTTGTTGTTTTTTATATATATATATATATATAGTTAAGCTCATTTTATAAACTAGATAATAATATGTGTATGCAAAAATTTCATTTGTACATAACTTTTCGCTTCTTTTTACTTTCTTTCTCATATGAGTCCCTTTTGTTTGGTATCAAGTTTTCAAATGCAATGTAAAAGAAGGAGTAGAGACGAAAAACACAAAATGTATTAAGCAGTTGTTTTTGTTAAATTACAAAAAATTTTACGTTTTTGTTTTTTTTTGGCAAATTTGCAAGTATAGAATGTTTTGTAGATAAATCAAATCAAATAGAGTTTACAAATGGAACAAAAAATTCATGAATTTGCAAAAAGATTTCTGTTTTTTTTTTTTTCGAAATAAGAAAACTAGTTAAACACAGAGAGCTACAAGTGGGTTAGGACTCGGTGCTTGGGCTAATTTCGAGCTCTTACCTCTCTTTCTTGTGCTTCTTGGACTTCTTCTTCTTGTCCTTGCGACGCTCCGGACTCGCCGAGCTGGAGGGAAAGCAAAGGGAAAGCTAGTTAGTTTGGTTATTTTTTTTTTTAGCATATTTATAGTTTTACCTCTCCCGGGCGCGTTTCTTTTTCTTCTTTTTGTCCGACTTGGAGACATCGCCACTTTGATGCAGTGCATCCGCTTTGCCAGCAACGGCAGCCGCCTCCGGCGAGGGCGTGCGCACGAGCGCATATCGTTTGCCCGTCTCCTTGTCTTTGCCTCCTGATGCCGCCACCGCCGCCGCCGCAGCCGTTGCGGCCGCTGCGAGGCTCTCGCGCTGCGCGTCCAGCTCCTTTTGCAGCGCCACGCTCTTGGCCAGATCCTCCTTGGCCTTGCGATCGCTATCAAAGCTGCTGCCCTCCACAAAGTACTCGGATATGTTGAAGGCTTCGCGCAACTTGGCGTTCTTCTGCTGCTGTGCCTCAGCGATTTGATGGGTTTCACGCACGCTGCAAGAAATAGAAGAAGAAGGCTTTTGAGATGTGGCCATGCATAAAGACAAGGATAAGATAGACGGATAACTTATGTATCTAGATGCGGAACACGCTGGGCGTCCATTTACCTGGCCACCGCCGCTTTGCCAGCGCCGAGCAGCAGCGTCTCGAGCCATGTGCTCGACGAATGCTTGAGCAGCTCGAGCAGTGCCGGCAGCGCCTGGCCCTTCAGATTGCGTTTCCTGTCTGACTTGCTGCTTTCCTTTTCTCGTGCCCGTTCCCTTTGACTGTCATCAGCTGTTCGCATTTCCTGCGGGCATGGCGTCATTTGCGTATTCTGACAGACGCAGGCGCACTCGTTGAGCGTCTTTCGCGGCATTGCTGTGCGCCTGTTCTTCTTGGCGCCGCTTGCCAAAACCGGCTTGAACTTCTTGGCCACGGCGGCATAGTTGAGCGCCGCCGCCGTTGTGGCCTGCGCCGTGATGTGAAAACTCTCGTATTTGGCTATATACTCGCGATTGTCGTGCTGGAAATATTGCGCCTTGCATTTCCTGCCACAACCCACAATGGCCTTGGCGGGGTTGCTGCTGCCGCTCCCGTTGCTCTTCCCGCAGCCGGTTGCGTGTCCTGCGCGTTTGCGGCGCTTGCGTCGCTTCTTTGTCCTCACCACATGCAACGTGCTGAACGCATTTGTTATGCTGCTGCTAACCGCGCAGGCCGTGGAGGCCATGGAGGCCATGGAGGTAGCTGTTGCCACAGCCGTCGCCGTCGCCGTCGCCTCTGCCGTTGCAGTTGTTGTGTTTGTGTTTGTGTTTGTGTAGACTTCCGAGGAGAGCATTTCCCTTCTCTCTGGCTCTTCTACTTATTATTATAGGGGGTTGTTTCGGCAAGTGGATGTTTTTGGCTTTGATACAACTTTTGTATAATTTTTTGTTACTTTATTTTATGAGAATATTCAATATTTGTTTTTTCTTACAAATTTCCCGAGTTTTCAATATTATTTTATTTTTTTTTTTTACTTATTTTTCAAAGTTTTATATATATTATATTTGAATATTTTTATCAATTTACATTTTTTTTGTTTTTTTTTTTTTTTTTATTATTTTGTTATATTATATGTTTTCCGGCTTTATTTTCATAATTTTTTAATGTTTTCTTTATTATTTTTATTTTTATTTTTATTTTTATTTTTATTTTTATAAAAATGTATTTCATAAAGTTTTTGTGTATAAAAATATAGTTCTGTCCACAATTTGTTAAGGAAGACAGCGGATATATTTAATGTTTATGTATTCTCCTTCCTTTTTAACTTTTATATATTTTTAAGTTTTTTTAAACTTAAATATGGAATACCTTCTTTTATAATAGAACTCTATATACGTTAATTTTTTATGTATTAAATATTTTTGTCCACAATTTGTTCAGGAAGACAGCGGATTATATATTTAATCTTTATATAGTTATCTATATTTATTTATATATTAATGTATTCCAATTTTGTTTTTTCAACATTTGTTTAGGAAGACATTGGATTGCATTATATTTATTTTATTTATTAATTCATGGCATTTTTTTTTTGTATTGTTTTTTCACGATTTTGTCAGTTTAGTTAAATTAGATTCATTTATTATGTCATATTTTGTTTGGCTTTTATTTTCCACAAGTTTATCCGGAAGACTTTGGATCATAAATATATATAAATTAATGAATATATATTTTTATTATTATATATTAATTAAAAAAAGTTTCTTTTCATTAATGATTTTTTGTTTTTAACTTTTATGTTTGTTGTGATATTCTGCTATTTTTTTTTTTACTTTTTTGTTATTGCATTTTTAAATTTTATACTTTCCCGAAAGACTTTGGAATCTTTTAAATTTGTTATATATCTATTTTTTTATATATATTTTATAAAAAAATAAACTTTTTTATGCACTTAATTTAAACGCTTGGAAGACTTTGGATTAGCATTTATGGTGAATTACAATTTGGCTACATTTGCCTTAAATTGTTGAATATTAGTATTTAATTGATTAACAACTTTGATCGTTATTTGGAAGACTTTGTTGTTTTATAGACTTTTAGCTTTTATAATACTCCGTTGAAGCGCTCGCTGCCGACTCCATTCAACGACTAAAACTAATTGCGAATTACAAGCTACGTTTGGAAGACTTATTTAGTGATTTGTTGCTTTCGATTTGTTGGATCACATTACGCTGTCTGTGCTCGGCAGCTTAATACTCCATTCTAGACAACAACAATCAGCAACCATTGCGACGACGACGACGAAGCTAATCGACTGTGATTGGGATGAGCTGGTAGCCACCACCAGACGAGCATGGTTTGGGTTTAGTGCGTCCGGCAGCACACTTGAAGGGCTGCTCGAGCTTTGGCATATTGATGGCATTCTGCCCAATCGCCGCATTTTCAACACGCTCTACTTTTTTTCTTTACAGTTATTTTCATTCGTTTTCTGTGTCAGCTATTGATTTTTCCAGCGCTGCGTCAACATTTTCCACTGGCTTCCAAATTCTGGCGGCCGCGTTCATGTTGTCCTCGTCGCCGTCGCTGTTGCCAGGGCAACTTTAACGTTTTCCTATTTCTACTTATTTTTTGGTTTGTTTTGTTTTATTTCTAGTTGAATTTATTGCTTATTTAAAATATTGAATTAATTTCCTGAGCGCGTGTGCCAAACGTTGGCATTGGAAGACTTGATGCGACTGCTGAAAATGTCATCCTTGCCGCAGATTTTTCTCTACAACTGCGCGTGCTTTGATTGGCGCCTGGACCAAAGGCTGGCCAGTTTCTCGCGCGGGTGGATGGTTTCTCGCGCTGTGCGCAGCCGGCGGCGCATGTGTTGTGGCGGCCAGTTTAACAGCTGGCTGAGATTTGGTGTGTGTGTGTTGGTTCAAGCGTTTATTGATTTGTCCAGCAGGCGCTCAATTTTGTTTTAAATTACATAATTGCGACTAACTATATTTAGCTAAGACTAAATGTTAATGCAGCTACTTACGCTACGCGTCCAAATTCATCCTTGGCCAAATCGGTTTTGCCTTGGCCCATTAATTTCTGGCGATACGAGTCCACGTGCGACTTGATCTCCTCCGGCGTGCGTCTGTTTTTGGGTCAGGAAAAAAACAAAAAAACAAGAGAATAACATTTAGAAAAATAAAACAAAATCACAGCCACTAAATGGGGAATATTTGCTTAAAATACCTTTTAGACCAAAAGTAAAACTTAAAGTTTTATTAATTTCACTGTTTAAATATTTATGCTAATTGCATTTTAAGGCCTCCTTTTTTTAAACTTTTTTTTTTGTTTTAGTAATTTAATGTTTGTGCATAAACCATTTGAAACTTGGAAAGTTGTCCGCTTTATTGTGGAACGCGGATGTGCTCTATTGAAACAATCTCTACAACTGAAATGCAGTTTTCCACCACCCGAACGGCGCAGGCCAGGCTCAGGCTGCGTCGTTGTCAGTCGGAGGCCAACGGAAGTAGAGATGAACGCGTGTCAAATGTTCAGGTTTTGGTATAGACCCTCTCCCATATGCCTTCAAGGCTTTAGAAGCTTGATCTAACCGAAATTCTAATTTATTTCAACGCATTTTGTGTACAATATTATTTCGAAATTCTATGCAAAGTCGTGAACGTGCCAGATTTGATTTACCAACTTATTTTTCGTGTCACGAAAGAAAGCACGACACGCGCTCAGCTTTAGGCCGAAGCGCTTATGTGTGACGCAAAAGTTGAGTAGGGGGTGGTTGGGCTGGCTGGTGCTGGGCGGGCGGGCGGTGCTCTTGCAGCAGGGTTGGTGGTGGTTTGCTGCTGCTGCTGAGCGCGCGCTCTCTGACAGCTACCAGGCGCCGAATGTAAACATAACAGCAGCAAGCAGCGGGCGAACGAATGTAAATATTGGCACGTTGGAGAGGAATGCATGGGCCGAATGTGCGCACAGTGTTGGCGACCGGTGTTATATAACGCCAATATTGCATTACATGCAGGAGTCAACTGCTATTTGACTGGATATGGCAGCCCCATTTGATATGCGACATATTATTTGACTTACCCTTGCTTCTCGAGTATTTCTTCGAATTCAATGCACTTCACCTCGATCTTGCGCTTGCGATCGTGATCAAGTATCTCCTTGTTTGGCGGCCGATTGAGCTGTGCGTCCAGCTTTTTGGTATCATCTTCGGCACGATAGTCCTTGTCCTTTTTGCCCGGTCGCACAAATGCCCAATTGCGCTGCACATGTCCATTTGTGCCGGAGCCACGCGGCGTCGTCAGGCCAATGCCGTTGTACATATTGAGCGGCTCCTTGTCGCTAGATAGCTATTTTTGCTGGTTTAAACGTTTACTTTTTCGTATGCATCAGCGTTTGGAACGGCGCAGCTGCTCCGCCAAATGTGCAGTTTGCAAACACAAGAAAAATCGATTTTGTCTAGCAGGCAACGCCGACGCCGATGCAACTCTGACTATCGATATACTTGCAGCACTGCGATACTATATCGATATTGCTTAAATCGCGAATTGTAAACAAAAATTGCACTTGGTTTACATTACTTTTAACAAAATACGATTTGGACTGCTTAACAATATGCAAACAGACAACAAACAGGACAAGGACGAGGCGGAAGAACCTACCAAAGTGGTTTTTAAGAAATCGTCCCGCAAAAATCTGCGCCAGCGCAAGAATTCTGATGATGGCGACAACGAGGAGCAGTGCGTATCTACATCTTCTATATATTAACAAATAATAAAATTCTGTTTTAAACAGGCTCACACTCGACGAGATCAAGGAGCGACAACGCTTACGACAGCGTCCCAATGGCGTCAGCCTAGTGGGCCTGGCGCTCGGCAAGAAAGTGGCGCCAGAGGAAGAGCTGGCCATCAAGGATCCCTTCAATGTGAAGATTGGCGGGCTGGTCAACATGCAACAAATGAAATCCGGCAAAATGAAGGAAGCCGATGATGCCTATGATGTGGGCATCGGTACGCAATTCTCGGCCGAGACCAATAAACGTGACGAAGACGAGGAAATGATGAAATACATCGAACAAGAGCTGCAAAAGCGCAAAGGCGGCGCTGCAGATGAAAACGAGAATGATGATAGCGATGCCCATAAATATCTGACACCCGAGGATGCGGCACTCTACGCGCTGCCCGACCACCTGCGTCAGTCCTCATCGCACAGATCCGAAGAAATGTTGTCGAATCAAATGCTAAATGGCATTCCCGAAGTGGATCTGGGCATTCATGCCAAGATTCACAACATTGAGGCCACGGAGGATGCTAAGCAAAAGCTGCTGCAGGATGCCAAGAACAAAAAGGATGGACCCTCACAGTTTGTGCCCACCAACATGGCTGTCAATTTCATGCAACACAATCGCTGTAAGCTGCTTGATCTTCATCAAATGTTTGTTACTAAATAGATCTTTCCTTGCTTCCAGTTAACATCGAGGATAACAATGAACAGAGGAGACGCAAGCGCGAGGATAAAGATGGCAACAATAAATCGGCGCAGCATCAAACAAATCCAAATGGCGTTAAGCGCGCAACAGATGATTATCATTATGACAAATTTAGAAAACAATTTCGCAGATATTAAAGAGTACAAATTTTTAGACAACAAATCTTTTATTATACTAATTTTAACATAGAAGCGGTTTTTCCTGGGCTGAATCCATGTCCTTTCCGTTTGCTGAAATATATAAAAATAACATGTAATCAGTTTAGTTTTGTTATTAAAAGTTGCTGTTTTAAACTAAAGCAAATTTGTTCAGAGAGAGAAGTTGATTTCATGGCAACGAATGACTGAAGCTCAATGAGATTCCTACTTGAATAAAACATCATAATAGTTGTAAATGCTTAGACGTAATTTATAATCTATTAAACAATGTCTTTATACACACCTTTAGGAGAATAAACGAAGGTTGACAATCAATTCTGTTTTAAACTGAAAAGTACAAAGAAAAATATAAGATTAGTTTGAATCTTGGAGAATTCCTGGTGTTATGATAGATTTTTTGTTCAGTGAGAGAAGTTTGATTTCATAGCAACGAATGACTGAAGCTCAATGAGATTCCTACTTGAAAAAATCATCATATAGAAATAGAAAGCTTTAAATCAGCAAAAAGTTCTTACCTTTTGAGAAAAAATGAGTTTGCCCAGCACCAAACTGAAAATAGAAACAAATTAATGATCAGTTTTGATAAGATTTTAATGCAGCTTACCTATTAAAAAGTATAATCCAGTCCAGTTTATGCTGAAACAATCTGAAATGAAAATAATAATAATACCAACCCAATAGCAAAGCCATGCATTCTGTTGTTATTAGAGTTTTTGTTTGTTTTTTATTATACCCTGACAACATTGAAACGTTCATCCTCGCTCTATTTTGTCAGCTTAGTTATTACTTTGTTTATAGAAAAAGAATTCTATTGTGAAAATGTAAAACGCGATGTACGTTCCCATTTTGCATGCTTATATGATGCCGATCTTGTTGGCGATATCGAGAGCATCGTAGTCACGCGCCAGGCGCACATAAGCCTTCTTCTGACCATCGGGCCTGATCAGAATGTTAACCTTAGCCACCTTAATGTCGTAGAGCTTGCGCACTGCGGCACGCACGTGGTTCTTGTTGGCGCGCAGGTGTGTGAGGAAGACCAAGGTGTTGTTGTCCTCGATCTTCTTCATGGCTGCTTCCGTGGTCAACGGGTATTTGATGATGTTGTAAGCATCCATGCGGTTCCTGGTGGGCACCGACTTCCTGGGGTATTTGGGATTGCGTGGAAGCTTCAACGTTGTTGGACGACGGAAGTGCACATTGGTGCGGATCTTGCGTGTGCGTGTACCGAAAGCGCCCTTGATGATCTGTTTGGTATCCATAGCAAAAGACATTTGATTAGCTTTCGTTTGTTACGCTCAGCACTCGGCACTTGCTCACCTTGGTCTGCACCTTCTTGGCGTTCAACAAGGCAACAGCCTTAGCCTTGGCCGTACCCTTGGCGGGCTTGGCGCCAGCCTTGCCCACGGGCTTCTTGCCCTTGGCAGCAGCACGTGCCTTGGCGGAGAGCTTGGCCAGCACAGACTGGGGCTTCTTGCCAGCGCCCAATTTCTTCTTCAGATCCTTAGCCTTTGGCTTGGTGATTGGCTTCTTCAGGGCGGGCTTCTTTGCAGCGCCAGCGGCTGGCTTCTTGGCAGCACCAGCAGCGGCAGCGGGCTTCTTGGCGGGAGCAGCAGCCTTCTTGGGGGCAGCAGCTGCAGGCTTAGCTGCAGCTGGTGCCTCCTTCTTGGCAGCAGCAGGCGCCGCCGCGGCCGCCTTCTTCTGCTCTGGCTTCTTATCGCCAGGCTTTGCTGCAATTGGCAATTAACAATATAAATTAACACTAGTAAACAGAGCTGCAAAAAAGTTGGGTTAAGCACGAACGCACAATGCTAGGGCAAGCAGCAACAAACACAGCAGTCTTCATTTTTATTAACTATTGCACTTGAATTTCGTTTTAAATGCGCTTTTTGCTTAAATACAGCACTTGGCTGTTTCACACACGCATTGTACATTGTTTTCAATGCCGAGTCGCAGCCACACCGCACGTGGCGCAAATATGGCGACACATTTTCTGTTATATTTGCTTGAAATTCTTATTTAAACACATTTCTACATATATCCGTGCATTGTGCTTGCTATAACCTTGCTGTTGATGACAAAACCACACATTTTTTAGGCATTTTTATATGAAAAATCCTTACCGGATTTCTCGGTTGGCTTTTTAGGTGGCATTTCTACGAGAAAAAGAAATGAAAAGGAAAACTGAGGGGCATTTGACAAATGAGCGGAAGCCCATTTTGACAGCAGCGTGGCCAGATGTGTAGCAAGTGGCAACGCTGTATGACGATATATAATAAAATGGCAACGCTAAGCAACTTGCAGTTCAAACAAAGCGGCAGTCTAGTGGCAACGCTATAGAAAATTTAAAGGGACGGCAGCCCTGTCTGTCAATAAAAAACCGTTTTTTAGTGTGCAGTAAAATTAAAATGTATTTATAAAAGTAAAATGTGAAGTGTGTGCGCTAATCAGCAGGCACAGCCACTCTTTTGTTTGCTGGAACGACTTGTGAAATAACTGCGTAAGTCTGTAAATAGCATAACAAAATAATCAAAAATTTGCCGCGCATTTTTCGATGTAACCTACCAAATTTTTGCGACTTTTCTGGCGTTTGTGTCGTCTGCTCCAGTGCTGTGCTCTTTAATAATTTTAATTGTTGCTGCATGGCCGTTTCAAAGGCCAATGCGGCCAAACGTTGAAAGAATTCGTTGATCTTGTAACCGGAACGCGCCGATACGGACCAATATTCGGCCTGCAGCTCGGCAGCTGCCACGCCCGCGAGGCGCTCCATTCGCATGAACTCTTCCTTGGTCTGGGTTAAGACAATTTGCCTAAAGATTGGATTGTTTTAAAGGATATTTGTGCTTACCAAGAGATCTGCTTTTGTGCCCACCAGAAATATCAAAGGCTTCTGCGTTGTGTTGTAGTTCAGGGCGCTGGAAAGCCACTTTTTGGCAGCCTCTAGAGACTCGCGCTTGGCCATGTCGTAGGTGGCCACAATGACTGCAACAAAGGGCATAAGGTGGAGATATCAAAGCTGCTGCCATGCTTACCACTAGCATTGCGATAATAGGCGCCCGCTATGCACTTGAAGCGCTCCTGGCCAGCCGTGTCCCACCTGCAAGCATAAAGGAGACTATAAGTTGGAGTCCCTGCCAGGATACGGTCCACTCACATTTCCAGGCCGAAGTTGTGACCCAATATGCTAAAGTTCTCCAGCTCAAAGTCAACGCCAATGGTTGCCTTATAGTTCGACTGGAACTTGTCGTAGCAGAAGCTGTAGCAGTAGCAAATCCCAACAAGTTTCAATCAGAGTTTTCTTTGGAGGATCATCCAAATGACTCACCGATTCACAATGGCCGTTTTGCCCACGGCGCAGTCGCCCACAAAGATGACCTTGCAGGGACGCAGCTTAGGCTTGCGCGGCAGCTCCAATTGATAGCGCAGCTGGGGCGCAAAATCCTTGTCCCGGCTGTAGGGCGTCTGGGCCAAGCTGTAGGCGGGCGGCAAATGCCGCAAATGTGTGCGCGGATCGTGCTGGGTCGCCGTTGGCGTCGCGGGCAATAACAGATTCTGGCGCAGCCGATGGGGCATTGTGTACGTCTCGTTGCCAACTGACAGCGAGACGAGCTGCGCTCGCAAACCAAAGCGGAAAAATGCGCCACAAAAAAACCACAAGCCTCGGCCTGAACTTGACGGGCTATCAGGTGCTCAAGGTGCGCCACAGGTGCTCCGACTTTATATGCAAATAGGCGTCTGATAACAATGAGCCCTCGAATTGGGTTAACCAGCGATAGCAATGTGGCACAGAGCTGTGCCCCAGGCCTGGCTAGGGATTTCCCCATGTGCATTCAGTTGAGTTTTTGCTGTGATTCAAGCTTGCAAAGCTGAGATTTGCTTAAGCTGGAGTGGAGATTTATCCGCAGAAAAGTTCTTTGAATCTTAGATATGTTTGTCTATATAAATCTAACTGATTTTGGACAGAAAACAAGTGGAAATTACCTTCATCTCGAGGTTACATTTATATAAATCTAAACAAGAAGAGAAATTTCCACTCGTGTATGCGGAAAATACGTGAAAAAAGTTGTGTGAAACTTTTTGGTTTTTATCCAATCGCCTTTTTCACGCTTTTCGGCTAAATCACGTCTCTTAGTCGAAAATGGGAGATATGTTTCACGCTCTTCGGGTAAATCACGGAAATTGGTGGAAAATGGGGGAAGTTTATTAGAGATGTGTTTCACGCTCTTCGGGCAAATCACGGCCCTTGGTGGAAAATTTATTAGATATGTGTTTCTCGCTTTTCGGGTAACTCACGCCCCTTGGTGGAAAATTGGGACATTTATTACAGACTTGATTCGCGGGTAAATCCCAGACCTTGGGGAAAAATGGGTAACATTTATTAGCTCCTTTATCCTTTATTATTTCTTTGTTTCACGCTCTTCGTGTGGTCCGGGTGGAAAAAGGGTGGAAATTTATTAGATATGTGTTTCACGCGTTTCGGGTAAATCACCTCTGGTGGAAAATGGTTGCTTATGTAAATTGAATTCTCCGAACAAGTCTATTGCGCTGCTGTGTGCTTGCCGCCTCCGGGATAACTAAAGGAGCCCACGCTCTTGACCTGTTGCAGCAGCTCCGGATCCAAGGCCAGGGCCTTGAAGAGGGCACGCTTCAGTTGCCTGTACTGAAAATGCGGCGGAAAGGGCATGTCCTCAAAGGCGAGCATAAGGAGATTGCCAGCCTCATTGCCCACGGCCAGGCAGCGACCACAGTGCGAAAAGCTGGCAATGAAACGGAAATCCTGAGTCCAGTTGAAGCAGAATAGAACCAAAATGCTTACCAGAAGGTCGTGTAGTCAATCCGGGCATCGATTGTGGTGGACGAGACGGGCTTCAGTGTGCTGTTGCGCAGATCCCAGATGTCGATGGTGCTGTGGCTGAGCGAAACCAAAATGGTCGAATGGGTGCGGCTCCAGCGGGCGCAGTGCACCGGTGACAGATGATGCTGCAGCGTGATCAGCGGCAGCAGGATGCCGCCCATCCAGATGCGAATGCACCTGCATAGGATTACCTGGATTAGAAGGAATTGTAATGGGGCCAAACACTTACCAATCGCTGCCGCAGGTCAAGTAGAGCTTGGGGGACCAGGGCGAGAAGTCCATGCAGACGGCAGGCGTTTCGTGCACCTGGCGCTGCTCCAGATGCTGCAGTGGATAATTGGTGGAGCACTTGTACATGGTGCCCTCATCGGTGAGCACATAGTAAAAATCTGTTTGCAACGGATCCAGCACGAGTTCCAGGCACTGCACGTGGCGATTCGCCAGGAGTGGGACACGCTGCGCCTGGCACTGGAGGGGAATCCCCTCCAGCTCGGCCTCGGCACGCTCAAAATACTGATGCTGAAAGCCCAACAGATGTGGACTATTGATCAGCTGATATTTCGTGATGGCGCCCGACTGCGAGGCAGCCAGTAGAGGCGTCAGATCGGGCTCGCCGGGCACATCCCCGTCGGTGCGCTGTATCCATTTGATGGATGTCACCGGCTCAAAGTGGGGCGAGCTGCTGCGCTGGGAGCTGGCCAGCGGCGGCTGATCCTCCGGCTGCGAAATGTCCCGCACCTGGACATCGCCATTGTGCAGGCCAATGGCCAGCAGCTGTGGAGCCGCCGGCGCGAACTGCAACGTGACCACGGGCACGGAGTAATTGTAGCAGCGTTCCGGATTCACCGGATTCTTGATGTTCCACACGTAGACATGGCCGGCACTGATGTCGGGCTGCTTGCCCAGCTGCGCATAGGTATAAATACCATACGACACGGCAAAAATGTCGCCATTGCTGGGACAAAAGCTAATCCCGGTCACTGCCTGCCGGGTTCCGGGCAACGGGCAGGAGGCGGGTGCACTCAGGCGCCAGAGCAGGCGCAGCCGGTACCGGAACTTGACGTCCTCGGCGAGCGGATCGGGTGGCGTCATATTGCGAAAGCGCCGCTGTTCCGGCTCGTACACATTGCTGGCCAGGATGCGCATGGTCAGCATAAGCGCCAGCCGGAAGCTGGGCAGCTTATTGATGCCCACAAACTGATCCACGCCGCCGACGCGATAGGTGGTCACCTCCATTTGCTGGGCGCCCTGCACCTGAACGCTCTTCGTGGACGCCTCCAGATCCTTGTACGTGTCGAACATCTCGAAGTTGGAGACATAGGAGGCCACCTGGTCGGTGTGCAGGCGCTCCGTGTTGACCAGCCGCGATTTCAGCAGCGTCGATATCGTCTGCGTTTCCGAGTCGACGGTGCGTCGGGATTTGTCTGTGCCCGCCAGCAACTGCTCGTAGCGCCGATTATCCGCCAAAACCTGGCGCCCCTCCTCGCTGTCCGCCTCGGCCGTCATGCTGGGCCGCTCGAACAGCACCACAAGCGGCGTCTTCCGCAGCAGCACTTTGATAAAGGGCGTGGCCGTCGGCTTGGCCGATTTGCGAACCGCGGGCGCAAAGCCAACAGTTTCCGCTTTGGCCGTGTCCCTCTCCCTGTCCCTGTCGCCGCCCAAATGCAGCTTGAACAGATTTATCTGAAGGCACATAGGATGAGGCTGAGACGGAAGTGCTTCCATTTTGTATACTCACTCCCAGCGCTATGTCATCCAGCGAGGCGCGCATCACGCACTTGGTGCGATATTCGGGCGAGCGCAGCTTCTGCATGGGCAGCTGCTCCGACGTGGTCGTCTTCATCAGCGGATGATTCCTGATCAGCTGGCTGAGCTGCTGGAAATCAGCAGCTCGGTAATCCTTGTTTAACGGCCTGCACATCGTGGCTGATAAAATTCTAATTTAGCGAACTAGTATAGAGCTCGAACATACACTGTACTAATAGGAAATGCTTCGAAGTAGGGTATATTGCAGTTGTGCTCATGTATGCAACAGTCAGAAGAAGGAACTTATCCACCGAAAAGTATCCTATTTATAATATGAAATCTCGTATGCCATAAGATTTAACTTTCTCTTATCTCCTACCGTTTTCTCGAATTCGATAAATATCGATTTTTGATTCTGGTGCACATATCGATAGTTTATATGAGCTAGATAAGCAAAATGCCCATGTAGTAGATATAGATCAAGAATATTTCACTGTTTGAATACCTACCTACGTTCCCTTTAAAACAGAAATTTAGATCGATAATTATCGATAGATATATATATTTAAGCACTGAAAATTTCATAAGTATCGAACTGTCAACACAGAAGTTATTTAAAAATGAACTTTCCCTAGTAAAGAGCTTAAAGAAGAGTATGCAGCGCCCCTGCTAGAACTTGCAGCTATATGCAGGGTATCTTCTAGTCGGGCACACTCTTCCAGCACACTTTTACTTGTTTATAATGTAGTTAACATGGCAACGCATCGTTGCCACAGACACGCGCCTGTTGCCATACGGCAGTGCTACATATTGTTGCGCAGCTGCACACATTAATATTCATAATCAAAATAATTTTCAGTCACGCAAGCGCAAAGTAATTCAATTTGTGGCAAGTCGCAGCTTTTATGCCCTAACAAGCTATCGCAACGGGTTCGATTGCGATAGGCGACTATCGATAGCATCGATAGCTTGACTATTGTGAACCGTGTTGAGTTGCAAAAACTTGCCGCGTGTTTTGGGTGCAGCGAGCGCGCTTGCATTTCAATATATCAAAATACATATATGTATATAATAAGTTCTACTGTTTTCTGTTTCTTTCAAATGTATAACATAAAGCGTGACTAAGTGATATACATATGTATATGGTAGCTGCAAGAGAATTCGGATAATTATGGCGATTGCATGGTTCACAGACGCGCACAGTGCAGACGGCCTGCCTATTGTGAATGGCAAAACTTCCGCAACAACAACAACAAGAGAAACAAGTACAAAGCATATAGCCGCAGCTATGACCTGTCACAAAAAAAAGAAACAAAACTAAGTTTCGTTTAAAATTTGTATAGCAATTAGACGCACACCAAAGCAATTTACACACACACACGTACACACGGACATGTGTAGCAATAGAAAGGGTCTTTAATTCCGCCACAGCGCGCAGAAGTCAAAGAAAAAGAAGTTGTCTTATGTTAATTTTGCCTTTCTGCTTCGCTACGCTGATTCGCTTAATGAACAGGCAGCGGCAGCGGCCGCGGCAGCGACGTCGGCGCAGCAAGTGCAATATGTCAAATAGACAGACGAAGCAGCGAAAAGAAAGACGTTTTCCGCATGGGGGCCAAAAAGCCGCCGCATTGCATGTTGGTCAGCAGCAGCAACAACAACAACAACAGTAACAAATCGCCTGCGTTCATAATATAAACGCGTCAAGCGTAAAGCAATAAATGTGCAAGCGAAAAAGAGAATAAAATAACAAAAGCAGCGTTAAAGTCGCTTTGCGTGCATTATGAACTTTGCACGGGCGAGAGAGCAGGCAAGAAATGCGACCAACGCTTGTTACACATTTTCGGCAAAAAAAAATTACCAACAACAACAGCAACAACAATGGCGGCTGGCAGCGACGTTGCAGTCGACGCTGGCTGCGCACAGTGCTTAAAATTGTGACTAGTGGCAACGCGTTCCTGCCAAATTTCAATTATAGTCAGGCGACAAATGCGTCAATTCTGTTATCGCATTTGTAAAACCAAACTTTATGGCCGTTCAATCAATGAGGTAAGTGCATTTTTTAATATCGAAAATCTAAACATAAAATCGCTTAATTGGCTGCATTTTATGAGCTTCTAATTGTCCACACCCTGCAAATCGTTAAATTTAACGGCTACAAGTTCATCTAGCATATGCACATGTACTCAAACACACACACACACACACACACACACGTACAGAGACATGCGTGCGCCTGACCCGTGTCTTTGAACCGTTTTACGCTCATTCAGTTCGACTTTTACACCTGTTTTATGCTTCCACTGGCCCCAATGTGCGCCGGCCGCTGCCAACGCCGACGCAGCAGCGTTGCGCTCATCGCGTTGGGTGTAACATATTTTCTTTTTTCATTTTTCTGTGTTGGTTTTGTTTTTTTTTTTAGCAGCATACGCCGCGTTTAAGCCCTCTGCTCACAAAAGCGACTTTTATTCGTTAATTAACCGTCGTGCGGCGCAGAAGTGCCGGCCGCGCAAAGTCCGCTTAACGGAAGTCCACAAAATCAAAGCTATTGCGGAAACTCGAAAGCGAGGGCGCAAAAACTAATTTCGATTCTCTCGGCGATTGAGCACAAACAACAGCCAACCAACTGTGGCAACACTGGCACCTGCTGTCGCCGTTGCTGTCGCCGTCGCTGTTCACGTTGACGTTGACGTCGGCGCTTTTCACTCTTTTTCGTTTTCGGTGCGCGTCACAGTTGCATTTCGAACGTGGCACGTGCGCCGTTGTCCAACCTCGACGCCGGCGCTGACTCCTGTTTGCAGTCTGCAGTCGCCGTCGCAGTCGCAGTCGACGCGGCGCGTGCGCAGAGACATTTGAGTTATTCGAATTTGATGCATATTGCGCGGCTTTCAATTAATGCGTGTATATATATGTGTGTGCGTGTGTGTGTTAAATGTTAAAGCGATTTTGCAATAAGGCGTCACCCGCATTCACAGCATATAATCAGTTAATCAATTGATTTTGTCTTATCAGCAGCAGCATCGCAGCACCTGTAATATGTTGCTTTGGAAGCGGCTTTGTCGAACCCAAGGCGAGCCGGCGGCGGCAGCAACAAATAGCTTGGCGCAGCGCACAGGTAAGTTTGTTTTCGTTTATAAATATATCTAGCTAGCCACGCCCCTTTATGAGAAACGCCCACGCAGCGACGCGCCTATTTGTTGAATATGTGCAAACATAAAAACATTTAAAAATCAAAAATTGTGAAAGAGAAAAATTGCTTTTTTTTTGTTTTAAACTTTTTTTGTTGTTGTTTTGGGGACTTTTTTTTTATTGTTGTTGTACATGAAATCTGTGCGTCTCATTTGCATAATTTGCATCTTAAAATTGTTTCGGTTTCAGTTTCTGTTTTTATTGACTGGTTTATTGATTTCATTTTGTGATTTCGTTCGCAAGACCCAAAACCCAGTCCCCAGTCCCCAGTTCCAAGTTCCCGTCTCGGGCGCTTAATAAATTACCATCAAATTTTATCACCTACAAAAGTTGTGTATTCGCTGAGCAGACAAATGCGTGAAGCAGCTTTAATCCATTGAGTTAAATGAATAATATCTAGTATGTTAATACTCGCTTTTAGTTCTGAGCTTCATTCCTGGGCATCGGCACTTTTGGGTGGGTTCCAGTCCGGGTGTGGGGTGAGAATGTTGCCAAAAAGATTTATGAATGAGTTTGGCGTGTTTAACATAATTATGCACATCTCGCAGTCTGCTTAAGATTTAGATACGTCCACCAGATCAATCTATTAAACATGTGCGAGGGATTCGCGTAGAGGGGACTAGCAAATGCTCTATGGCCAGGTGAGACATGTGAGTCTTAAACCAGAGAGTCTTACTTCTAAATTTCGATTATTATCAAATCGATATTTATCGGAGAAGTTATTAAACTAATAAAATAAAGTTGAATTGTGTATTCATTGCGAGAGTCTACACACCGAAACAATCTTAGATTTAAGAAAATCTAAAATCATATTAAATACAAGTCTTAACTTAAGAAGCTTAGCAATCGATAGTTATCGATCTTGTCGGAAACTGGAGACTGCTAAAAATCACAATAACCAGTTGTTCGTTAAGGTATAGTAGAGTTTTTTAACTTCTAATATCTATCAATATCTACAAAATAAAAAGGAGTTATACATATCGGTATTTATCGGGGGAATAAAACTAAGGTAACCTGCCTAATATCGATCTTGCGGGAAACTGGGGATCGCTAAAAATTGAATTAAGTAGACGTTTGTTAATATATAAAGGGGGTTTTTGACTCTTTAGATTTGCAAAATCCACAGAATAAAAAGGAGAATAAATCGATATATATCGGGGCAAAACTTAGTTAAGAGGATCTTTGCAAAACGATATTTATCGGTGGGGAAAAGGTCTTGGCTGATTCTTCTACATAACAAACAACTTTATAGGACTCCTTTTAATTAAGTATAGGGTATTTTATGTTATAGCGTGTTGGGAGTTGGGACTGCTCAAGCTATTTATGACGCGTTGGCGTGGGATGTATGGAAATTTCCAGGCATAGTTTCAACGATTATCTAATCATAGTTACCTTCGACTAGCGTCTGGGCACGAGCTATGTCTAATTGTGGATGCGGCGAGGCGCAAATGTCAGTTCGCATTGCCACAAGCTCTGGCAAGTTGGGACCACAGTCGCTCTTCAGTGCCAGTTATTGTGGTTTTCAATGCGTTGAGTTTCGTTTCGATAGCGACTCCTTTTCTTCCCTGCCTGCCTGCTGTCGCTTTTTGGCTGGGCTCTTATTTTGGTCAACATGACTTTGACTTGTGGTAATTTGATGTTAATGACACTCATCAGCAGCGACACACGCACAACAACAACAACAACAACAACAAGAACGGGCAGCGACATCGACACTGGCTTTGACTCCCCCTGCCCCCTGTTCCAAGCCTGGCAGCAAACGTCGCACACTTAACACGATTCTAGTAGATCGTTCCGCTGTCCAGCGACATTTTTATGTGCTTCCCAACCGCAGCGCACCTGCCCCTGCCCAACCCTTCTCGCCCCGTTCCCGTCGTGCGGCATAATCGGCTTAGGCTTGGTGGAGAGTCTCTAGCCCAGGCCTGGGCTTTATTATCGCTGTCTCTCATTCTTTGGCTCCCTCCTATCGCTCTCTATGCGCTGCATTTGGGCAT